AGTGGCACTTCTGCCTCAGGCGGTCCAGCCACGGGTACAGCGCGCCAACCTGGTCCGACCTGAAGGCCCCGTGTGGCTGGAACAGCAGGCCACTTCCCCCGCGCCCAAGACGCCGATCGCCGCCAGATATCCCGCCAATGCCGCCCTCCTGCCGATCCGCCCTGGGCGGCTGACCCAGGCGCCATTGATGACCCTCCCCCACGCGAGGGGCTGTCAATCCGCGGAGGCCGGTGGCTGTGGCGGACTCGCTTGTTCTTGGCCGCCTGGGGCCGCCGACGAGGCCCTGAGCGCCCGACCGGGTGTTCTGACCCGGTCCCGGGTGCAGGCGGGGGCTTGGCGCCGTGGAGAGGCGCGGACGCGGGGCGTCTTGCGTATCGTAGACCGATCTACGGTTGGCTGCAATCCCGTCCCCCCGCACCTAGCAGTGTTTCCAAAGAGAGGTACAAGACTCGGTACATCGTGCTATTTTTTATTCCAAAATATTGTATTACGCTTCAGTGTCCAGTAATATTATGGACTCAGTGCTTTATGCCACTGTGTGGCATCAGATTTACACAGAGGGGAATTACCTGGGTGCTGTGCAGGGGCCCCAGAATGGGGCTCCTCTCGCTGCGGTTGGAGTGGTCGGCCTCCGCACCGGCCTCCAGGAGTTGGAGCGACTTGCGGGAGGGGTGGGTGTAGGGCGATCGGCCCCCCCTGATCAGCAGCTCCTGCCGTCTGCTGCTGCTGTTGTTTTTCATGGTGATGCCTGCGGCTGGGCCCGTGGGCGCGGGGTCGCCGGGGGCAACGAAGTAGGCCCGCAAGGCTTCCCCAGTGTCGATCACGTAGTTCCGAAACAGCGTGCACAGTGTCAGGAGGATGCGCCCTGTCGGAGCAACATTTACCACGGGTGAGGAAAATTGGTGGCGGGACATGGCCCGGTTGTCGAACAGCGTTGCATCACACGTCCAAGCTCTTTTGCGCGTCCTCTACTCGTTACCTTTATTTCCGCCAGCCAGGCCTGAGGGGATGCTTTTGAAGGGAACTGCAGAGCAATTCGCACATCGCACATTTGCGTACAAAGCATATTAGGTGTTTTTACCACGTGATGTGTGGTACACGTACAATGTGTTGTGCGTGTGCAATGGTGACTTGTGCAATATACGTGCATCTTCCTTAAACGTGTGGGCTGCGGGGTCTGGGTCAGCGGCTCAGACAGTGAACGAGGCGTCCAAATAGCGTCAGTGGGAACTGGGTGACCCCCTACATGACGGAATTCTCTCATTGTTGAAAATCTGCGCCGAAACCGCAGCTAAGAACCGACACCAAAATTGCATACAGGAAGCAACGGCAGCGACCTGCAGCGAGGTTCACACGAAGAAGTACGACTTTCATCCATTGACACTGTTGAAGCATTGGATGTAATTATGTTAAATTGGCCATTTTGTTCACATATTTACAATGACGGTGGCAGCAACTTTCAAGGGGCGTGTGCCGCTGTTGCGTGTTTGCAATGCAACGCAAAGGGCAGTAATTTGGTCGGCGCTCTGTCTATTGTCGGCCAGCGGTGCTTTCCAGTCGAGAATTTGGGACAGATGCAAACGACAACGGCGCACGCACGCCCACCCCCGCTGCTTCCGACGCCGCTCCAGTCTGCCATAAAGAGGAAACAATAGAATGTAGCAGGCGAGAGCTCCATCTTTCCAACGGAGATTGCCTGTTTTGCGCGATGCTTCTTGGCCGCTGGGACAGAATTCGGGGACCCGAGCGATGGGCTTGCCCGCTCGGCTGTTTCACGCTGGATGCATCGCATGTGTGCATGGGCATATGCCCATCAATGTGGGCTGCGGGTGACTTGGCAGCAACGCGTCTTCCGTGAATGGAATCGTCAGCCTGGGGGCGTCTTGGAGACGTGGCGCCACGCACGAAGATTCGGCAGCGTGGTGTCGTGTCGGCAACCGCTGCCCACATGTCCCCAGCCAATTCACGGCGCTTGCGATCTAACGGTCTGCATACCAAGAGAAAAGCGACAAACTCCCAGCATCCGGAGAGTCTGCAAAGCTCCCACCGGCGGTGCGTTGGCATTTCAGACCTCCAGATTCAATCCACAGGGCCCCTTGGACACCACATGAGAGCAAGTGAGCTACTGCTGTCAGAAGCCAAATCTTGTTGAATGCCATCGGCAAAGGGTGTCCAAACTCCGTTGCGATACGGAAAGACGATAAGCCCATTGCGCTGGGGCACAGGGCATAAAATTACTGGCTGCACCAAATCGGTGACTTTTTGCACCAAGTCACGTGCACATCATATCCAACTCCGTCCAAACTAACCTAACCTAAAACCTAAACCGTAAATCCTAAACCCAAACCTGTCCTACCCCTAGCCCTAACCCTAAAACTCACCCTGATACTAAACCTAACCCTGATACTAAACCTAACCCTAAAATTGAGGTCAGGACAAAGTGTCACGTGACTTGGTGCAAGCAGTCACCGATTTGGTGCAGGCAGTAACATTATTTCGGGGCACAGTGCCTGGTGGCCTGGCCGCAAACGAGCTTCCAGAATAACTGCCAAGCATCGGAGAGAGCCCATGACACAGCACAGCTTTCATGGGAGCCTACATCCCGGGGGGAAAACCGCCACGGCCTAGCTCTCTGAATGGCGCACATGCATTCTTCCGCAGCCTCCGCAGCTGGAAAAGAACGCCCTGCCACTCCCCACCACCACGGCCTCCAAACGGTGGGCGTCAGCCGCGCGTTTCACATCGAACCCCCAAGGCAAAGCGGCGGCGCGGGCGGCCAGCAAGCTGCCGGGGACACTCGAAACTCCTGTCCACGGCGGCGACGTTCCCAGAGCTCCTCGGACGTCAGCAGCCCCCGGACGCGCTCCCCTCCGGACGCGCTCAAATGCCACGCCGGCCGCCCTGGACGCACTCTTTGACCGCGGCGCGCAGCGCTGACTCCTTTCCCCACTAGCCGCATCTCGCAACGCCCCAGCCCGTCGAGGCGCACCGCGGCAACGGACGTGCCGCGCCCGCGCACGTCACGCTTCCAACCACCCTCTACCCGCGCCCGCCTCCGTTTACTCGGAACTCGACGCGCGTGGTCGCACCACAGTCAACGGCTCTCCTCCGCCCATCGACGGCCCTGCCCTGGCGACCAGACGGGACAAGGACCCGCCGCCGAATGCGCTCGCGCCTCTGAAAACGCCAAGCGACGGCCCAGCGCCAGCATTCGTGCGCTCAAGGCCGGGCGGCCCAATTTGCGGAATCGTTTAACTAGCGCAGCCTCACCCGGTGATCGGGCCACGCCGGGGATGTCCACCCGGCGTGACTTGGGGCCCCCTTCACCCCCGCGCCTCCGGCCTCGTGGATGTGTCCTCCCCGCGCGGTCATCCGGGCCAGCGTGTGCGCGGGCCGCGGGGCGGACGCCCCGCCGGGCGGAAATGGCGGCGGCGGACTGACCCGCGCCTGGACGGAGGGAGTCAGCGAGAATCAGCGGCCGCCGGCGGTGTGTTTCGGGCCCGCGCTAGTGGCGAACATGGGGACACAATCGCTGGGGCCTTCCATGTCGGGCCGGGAGTCCGAGAGGGAGGGTTGCGGCACCCGGAAGCTTCTGGTTTGATGGACGCAATGTGTGCATCACATGTGGCACAGCATGTGATGCGCGTGTGCGTCATGTGTGTGCAACATCAGTGGCTGCGATCCTGTTGTTTGCCTTCGACAGGGCCAAGCGGCGCCCTTGGACCGTTGAGGGAAGATAGTATTTGGATTTTGGTACGCTTAACGTCAAATTGACGTTAAGGGGGCGAGGTGTGCAGCCATTGACGCTACGAGATTATGCTATTGCACTGAAATCAAAATAAGGTGATACGACGCACAAGAACGTCACTGATCAGCGGCAAATTGCTCATAACTTGCTGCAAAACCTCCCTCAAACTTTCAATCATCCATGTATCAATTTTCAGGTTTTTAGGCTGCTCTCATCGCTTTGGCATCCCACTTTTCGAATCACCGCAGCGCTGCAATTTTGGCTGTTTATCCCCTTAAACATTAATGTTGCTGAGTCATCCTGTCATCGAAAGAAGGATTGGCGCCAAGGAGGGGGGAAAGGGGGTGTCTGAGCTTAAAGTCACATTGACGCTAAGCGTACCAAAATGAAAATGGTATCTTCCCTTATGCGATATAGGGCGCATAGACATCCAAGAAATGTAGATGCAGCACGTATCCAGCATTAATAGCACTTTTCTTCTCTTCAGAACAACCTAGATCAAGAGGACAGATGTCAGATCCTTTTGCCCGACACAGGCAGTGCCCATGATTTGTTCAGTGAAAATCCAACAGTAATGGTTGTTCTTGTGCATGCCCAGACAGACAGCTGTAGTTGTCTCATGGGAAACATTTTGATGACATTTGTCGGCAAACGTCAAACACGGACCTTCCACGCGCAAGCCGACGATGCCCATATGGATGCACACAAATCTCCATGAGCACAAAATTCCAAGCAATTCGTCACAAAACGTTATGATTTGTGTTGTTTTCCGCGGCCGTGAATTGGTCGAGTGCACAATGCACCTTGCTGGAATATAAATGGTCGTCAACGCGCGAGTATGAGGGCATTGTCAGGTCTTTTCCAGTGCTCCGGTTGCATTCAACGGAAGGGTGGGCTGCTGCCGTCCGAGCGCCCCAGAGCGCCATCTGAGGGGAGGCTCCCCTTGCAAAATTTTGCAAAGGGTCGTCCCGCCATTTAAAAAAATGGCGGGACGAAATGGCACTGGGGAAACTGGGCGATTGATTCCTACAGTGGTCATGGAGTTCATGGAGCTAGTTTCCAGCACAATTTGCTGGATGACGCTCATGGCGGCACATGCGGTGTGATGACGTACACCATGGATGGGAACCTCGTCGGTCGCATGGCCTTCAGCGAATGCAACCATCAGCCAACGTGCACAGAACAACGGCTGGCAAGAGACTTACGACTGTCGGCCGGAGTTAATAGCGAGAGGCGTCAACCCGTGCATTGACTACAACTGCCGATTGGGCGGGGGCACAATCAAGTTGCCGAATACACCGCCATGCAGGATATCACAAGCCCATTCGGACGGTGTCCCATCCACCACTACCACCCCACGACGGGAAGAAAAAAGAAGCGTTATGAGCTCCCCGACCACGCTATGTGTGCAGACAACTGCTCTATTCGTTTCAGCGTTCCTTGGAAGCGCCGAAGGCGGCATGCTTGTGCGCCCAGAAGGGTATGCCTGATAAAGCGAAGATACCCTAATCCGCCGGAAGCTCCAAGGCACATTCCAACACACTCTTGAGGATAGACTTGGGGATGCTGGACCGCCACGGCTGATAGTACAAGCCACACAGAGAGGGCAGATGGTGCCGTCTTCCAGAGTGGCCATCCTCCTTCCCCCCTGCCCATCAAGGGATGGACTCTGTGACTCTGCAAACGGGGCAACACAAGCACGATGGAGTGCCATGTCTGATTCTGCCACCCAGATTTTGCAGCCAGCCTGAAGCCGAGACCCTGCCATGCGCCAAAGCCCAGCTCCAAGCCATGACCAGGAAGCAGACGTGCGCTCCACGGTGTCTCATCTTGCCATCGCTTCATTCATGGCTTCGCTTGGTCTGCAAAGGCGACTCGCTGCGCCGTACCTCTGCCTGGACTAGGTTATGCAAACCCTGGCATCTAAATCCACTGCGCCCTCAGTTTTTGACGCAATTATGAGTGACTCAGTTCCTGTACTGCCATTGCTTTTAGGACGTCATCAGTGACGTCTCACCTTCCGTCGCACCCGCCATGACCTCAAAGATTCGCCACACCGCCAACACAAGCACTCATTGCCAAGCCATCTCGACAGCATTGTGCCGCGACCCCAGCGGCGCCGTTTTCATCCAATGGACGAACGTGGGCAGGGCGCCCACCCTCCCCCAAGCACCCAACTCCATGACGCAACCATGTCTGCATTCGACCGCGCCATATAAACGACTCGCCCCCCGTCGCCTCGCCGCCACACCATCGCAAACGAGGATCTCATCCACGCCCTCCTTTCCGACTCACCCGCGCCCCCCTCGGCGACTCCCCCCGCCCGTCCTCGACTCCCATCCCGTCAGCAAAGACCCCTTCACCCGTCCGCTAAAATCCCCTCATCCACATTTCTCTTGGAAAGACATTGCGGCAAAGCTCCCACTCATCCACAAAACCAGAAAAAATGCAAAGATAAACAAAAGAAAAGAGGGAAAAATTTGGGAAAAGAATCAAAGGCCGGAACCCCCCACGATGACTTCCTCGTACTCCACGGCCACCCTGTCCCAGCTAAGGTCCTGCGCCATGCCGCGCCTCTGCATCCGCCTGAAGGCCTCCGGCCGCGAGCAGAACACCTCCAGCGCCGCGTCCACCGCCCCCCGCAGCGCCCCCGCGTCCGCACTGTCAAACAGCCACCCTGTGCCCTTGTCGGCCGCGCTGTCGTAGTGCGTTATGGTGTCCCTCAGACCGCCCACGCGGTGGGCCACGGGGACCGTGCCGTACGCCATGGCGTACATCTGGTTCAGGCCGCAGGGCTCGAAGCGGGAGGGCATGAGGAGGACGTCCGCGGCGGCCGTGATCTTGTGCGCCATCTCGACGGAGAAGCCCACCCACGCACGGCACTGGCGTGGCCGCCTGCGGGGGAAGGCAGATCAACGGGGAGTAAATCGCGAACAACACCCAGGCCAATGAATCAATGAATCAGAGATGGACTGATTCCAGGGAGGCCTTTCCGGGCCTTCACGCAATGCTCGAGTGCGTTGAACGCAGGCTTAGGACGTCCAGGAGTCATGCACGCAATAAAGAAAGGAGGAGGAGGAGGAGAAGATGGTCCTGCCCCCCTTGCGTCTCCACTCTGGGGTTGTGTGCGTCTAATGTGCAGGTCCATACACGAAAGTCGGAATTGGGAACCAGAGGGCATGGACGCGACACGGGATCGACGCCGCCGTTTTCGAAACGCTCGTCGCCGGCTTCGTTCCGAGCGCGACGGACTCGTTTTGGAGGCGACGGCATCAGCTGGACGAGCACCCGGGTCTCATACATGAGAAACATGCACTTCGCGGCATCAACGCCTGGTGCGATTTCCTCGCGAATCCAAAACGCGCGCGACGTTCGCCTTGCGCCGGCTGCGACGAACCCCGGCCCCCGCCCCACCTGCGCTCCATGTCCACCAGCGCGCTCTCCAGCTCCGCGTTCCCCGAACCCAGCATCACCAGCTGCACGCCGCGGCCCATCAGCCACTCGAAGTTCTCGTAGATCAGGTCCACGCCCTTCTGGTGGTCCAGCCGCCCCACGAAGCCCAGCATCGGCGTCCCCGCCTCCGCCGGCAGGCCCATCTCGCCCTGTAGCGCCGCCTTGCAGGCCGCCTTGCCCGCCAACACGCTGCGCGGCCCGTAGCGGGCGTAGCCGCCGGACGTCAGGAAGGCGTCCGTGGCGGGGTTCCACTCCGAGGTGTCGATGCCATTGACGATGCCCCGCAGCTTCGAGTCCTGCTCCTGCAGGACGCCGTGCAGCCCCCAGCCGCCTTCCTGCGGGCGGACACGGTCGGCAAGCGTCCAGTCACTGGCTCGCTCTTCTCTGCGAGAATGTATTGGTCCCTCCGTCTTTTCCGTGAGGATCCCTTCTTCTTCCGCTGACAAGGCCAACGGCGGCCAGTGTGTCAGCGGTTTAGGGTTTATGGCGTCCGAAACAAGAAGGGATCTTCACGGAAAAGTCAGAGCAACTAACTTCATGCCCTTCTCTGCTGGCTCGCTCCTGCTAGGGCCTCAAGATCATCTGGAGTCACGGAGATAGTCATTCGCGTGCACCAGAAGCCACTGGGGCCACTGCCGTGCTATTGCTTGCCCCATACAGTAGGGGTCCCTATATGGCGCCTCCTAGTAGCGCCCCCGGCCCCAAGTAGCGCCCCCTTTTTGGCTTGTCACCATTTCTGTAGTACTTTATGCAGCTTCCGTGCACAATGGGACCTCAAACTCGCATTGTGGGCACCCAGGAGAGGTGTCCGGTGGACAGATGCTGCAGCGGCCGTCCGTTTCTGCGAACTTGACATAGCGCGGACGGGCGGACGGCACGTCTGGTGCGTCCACCGTGGGACCCGGGACCGGGGCATCCCCGGGAGGCCAGAGGAGGTGTGCTTTCCACGGTGGATCTCCACCTATGCACAGCGAAGTGGGCACTGCCCGCCTTGGTCTCTTGCTGCTGGCGGATTGGAGGGATAACGAGGGGTGCCCAATGCCACGGCGTCCATTTTTACAAAGCGCAGATTGCCGCAGAATCGAGGGCCGATAGAGACCAATGTCACGAACAAGTATTCTGTGCAAGCCTCGCCCTTACCCTTTAGGATCGGTAGCCAGCAATGCTGGCATCTGAGCCAAGGCCGATTGATTGCACTCACGGGTGCCAATCAGGGCACCTGCGGTTGGCACCATTGGCGCCAACGCGGGGCAGCAACGCCGAGAGTGGAAGGCCACGTTCGGCCTCCCAGTCCCGCATTTTTGTTGTGACTTCTGTGCCCGGTTGTTTAACGCCGCGCAGCCGTTGTTGCCCATTACCACTCGCCACGCTGCACCTGTTACTCTGGGACATGCAGCTCTCACACAGGGGTGTCCCTGACTCCGGGCGACCTGCCGCACGTGTGGGGAGCGACGGGGCGCGTTCGTTGTGTGATGTGCCGCTTGCAACGACGCAAAGCACTAGGGCACAAGGACGTCCCACGAGTATGTACACATGCGGTCGTCCGCGAGCGGATATTTGCAGAAATGCTCCATGCGGGGTGCCACCATCCCCCGTTCTCTATGGCGTGATGTGGCGCTGCCCGGTTAGGCGCACTCGTAATGCGGGCAATGCTGTGCAAGTCCACGTGGTGAGTAGCATCAATGCAAGCCCCAAGCACGCTGTTCCACTAATGTGGCAAGGTGGCACATGGTACGCGCTTTTGATGGGTCAATTTGGCACCTCAACAGGCCATAACACGGCTGATGGGTCTACTTTGGGTCTTCTTGTGATGGGGAGATTTATTTTATAACTAAAACTACAACTAAATGCAGTAAACAAATACATTTTTAGCGCCCTTGGCCCCAAATAGCGCCCCCTTTTTGCCCATGTCAAGTGGGGGCGCTATATAGGGACCCCTAATGCACCTTCTGAATGTGGTCGAGAGGAGTTGAGCGCCCATATCAGGACATGCCAAGTACCAACGTACGCAGCAGCGGCACTGTGCAAGAGGCACAGGGGCAATATGGCAAAGCGGCGGATGCCCAAAGATTGACGACTGACAAACGTACGCATCCTATGCACTGCATCGGGCCACAGTGCAGATTGGTGTTCCGTGTTTGGGAAGAAGACCGCCGGGATCCAGCCCAGAAGCATTTGGTTGAGATAATGCGCACTCATGCAAGCCACGAATCCCCTCCATCTGCCAGCCACGAAATTGCCCATTTCACAAAACTATTGTGTGTGAGCCATCAGCGCTGGATCGCTAACAATCGTGCATTAGTGCAGCACAGTAACCAGGTGACATGGTTTGCACTGCAGTGTCTGAAAGGGACCACATCGCGGGCTCTTGTTTTTACAATTATACGACTTAATAATATTTTTACCAATGCTTTTAATCAGACAAGCCAAGCTGCCCATTTCTTCCGCAAAGTCACTGCTCACCTGGGTTTTGCACTCCCAGGCGTACCCACGGCTCACCGCGACGATGCTGTGGCTGTGTATGATGGCGGCCTTCATGACGTTCATGTGCTCGCCGCCCACTGGGTCATACAGTCTGAACGACTCCGAGTAGTGCCAGGGCATGCCAAAGTAGCCCAGCTCCGCCATGGGGCCCCGCCCTTGGTAGGCGATGTTGTGCAGAACCAGGACACTGCGGGTGCAGGCCATCTCACCCCTGTCCCGATAATGGGCCTGAGGGCATGGCACACAGAGGGCACCACAGCATCAATATGCGCACACGTACCGCGCACATGGCACATGCTCGAATTGAGCGCGTACAACACGTCTGCACAATGTATGTCACCTAATCACCGTGTGTGCGCAACACATACAGCCAGTGTCGTCATTTGTGTGTAAAGGGACACAGCGTTGGTCAAGAGACTTTCCAACAGATTTGGTGGAAAATTGAGTCCGGGGTTGTTTGAAGCAGGTGTGGGGGATGGAAGGCGGCAGAAGCTGCACGTCGATCTCGTTGGTGACTGAAACCGCGCAGGCGCACTGGGCCAGGCTGACAAGATAGTTACCACGTGGTCTTCCAGAAGCAGCGTACACGGCACCATGCGGTGGAGAATTCAGAATAGAGCTCGAGGGTCTGGAGCGCCCTCAAACGAAGTTTGCCCTTTCAATTTTCAGAGCGAAATGCAAATTGGGCGAATCAAGTAGCCATTGACATACGCTTCTTGACGGAGTTTTGCACAGCAGACAAATGCAGCTGCGCAGAGCAGCAAAATTTTTGTAAGTTTGTGTTGGATTTGGCAGGTGAAGCCAGCCTTGATGGTTAACGACACCTGCGTGGTGCATCACTTCAACGTTCTGCCAGTAAATATCAACAAACTGAAAGAAATCAATGAACTCAAAGAAATTTCTTCAGTGTTCCCGTTCCTGTTGTTTTTGACGCTTTCTTGCTTTCTTCTCGGATTGCAAATTCTGGACTGAAAATAAGAAAACAACAACAGAAATTAGTATTGTGACAACAAAGAACACCATAAACTGCTACGCTGGAGAATGTGCGGGAGATAATGCACCTTGCTGCTGAAAGCTATTGGTTGGAGCTAAGGGGGAGGCAGTGAAAAGCGTCAACAATAGAAATTAGTATTGTGGCAACAGAGAACACCATAAACTGTTATGCTGGAGAATGTGCGGGAGATAATGCACCTTGCTGATAAGCTATTGGTTGGAGCTAAGGGGGAGGCAGTGAAAAGAATAAGGGACAGTGTCCGACTCATGCTACATTGTCCGCGCATGTTTAGCATCTGTTATTGCAACCTCATTGCCTGCCCGCTGCCTGCGCCTAGGGGGCGCGTTGCACGGACAGGACGGACGCACACAAACACATCGTGACGTCAACAGGAAGAGAACAAGAAACAGCAACACAAAGGGAGCCCCGCGCCCACCTCCAAGTACAGCGGCGTCAGCGCGGCATGCCAATCGTTGGCGACAAAGGTCAGGTTGTCCGTGCCGAATGGGCTGTCACCGCACGGCACGCAGCGCGGGGCCTCCAGGGCGCACTTTGACAGCAGGGCGCACCGGAATGCGACGTCCAGCCGCGAGCCGCTGTAGATGTCGCTCCCCCTGTTGTGGTAGCTGGGGTGGTCCACAAACACGACGTGCACGCCGTCCTTCAGCTCGTGGTAGTAGTGCACCTGCAGGCAGAGGCGTGGACAGACAAGGCGCTCACTGAAAGCGCGTTCCGGTGTTGCCACACATGCTGGGGACGCGTCCGATGACCACCATCCGCAGTGCGGCGCCCGCGTGGTGGCCGTCGTCCGGCCTCAGTCCCGCTGGCTAGAGGTTGCGAGTTTCGTTCGGTGCTGGTCGTGCACGAATTGGCTGGTTGTCTTGTTTGCAAATGGGGCGCACGTCAAGCCAACAGCGGCAATCCCTTGCACACAAACTATCAAGAGGAACGCATTCCTCGTCCTTTTCCTATTCTGAACGTTCTTGTTCTATTCAGAATATTCCCATTCCATTCTTCCCACTCTGTGCATGATGATGCGGAAGCCTCTGAGAGGAGCAGAAGCAGTACGAACAGCGCCAGTGCACCACTGCCTGAAGCGTGTTGAAGGGTGTGTTGTGTCACGACTGGGCATGGTCACTGGGAGGCTGCTCTCATCGTTCAGAAACGCCATAGAACAAGTGAACAAGCAATTGCAGATATCTCTGTGTTTCATAATCCCCATGCGCCTAGGTGAATCGATGCCTTTTGATGCCGCGATGCCCAAGAGTGCAACCAAAAGCCACCGAATTGAGCCGAAGCACAGAGGGCACGCCAGTGTTGGGTTTGATAAGTGGATGAACAACGGTCCTGAACAGGTGCACACGGGGTCCGGTCCTGCTGCATTGCAGGGCATCGCCAGAGCAAACCTAAGGAAGTGGTGTGAAGCAGCACATTTGGCTTGCCTTGTCAAGCACTGTTGCCATTTTGTTTATCACAGTTTTCTGTTAGCACAACTGTTTGGATACATAAAGTACTGTGACCACTTAATGGGACTGGTCAGAAAAAGCTTCACCGCACCTCATGGTTCATGCCGAAAATGCTGTAAGTTCCTCTGACTTGTGTGGGCCGCGCTGACTTGTAGTCTGCGTACCTGGGCGTCACCACCATCACGCGGTGGCCCCTCTTGGCCAGAGCCTTGGGAAGAGCACCCATGACATCGCCAAGGCCCCCTGTCACAGTTCAGACTTCACAATGAGAGTTCAGCCACTCCAACAATTTTCAGCCCCTCACTGGTGCGTAGTGACTGCAGACTTCCGGAATGCCTGTCATTGCCTCACAAGCACAAACCCTTCCTTTGTGCAGAGGATAAATTGAAAGATAGACTGCAGACAGTTACATCAACGATCAATAAGTCAAGAACTCAGCCGCTCACAACGATTATGCCGCTTGGAACCTGTAGCCATGAAGTTCTGCATTGTCACCACCATGAACTACAAAATCATCAAAGCCAAATTTGCTGCCAATTTCATTCTGTTCTCTACCCTCACACCTGGCCCCTCACACAGATTCAGGAGTTTTTGTGACTCTGATAAAGCGATGGAAATGCGAACCAAACCAAACCATTGGCCCCACCAAGACGACAATCTTGCAAAAACTGCAGCTGCAGCAAATATGGTATATCACAATGACACCCAAAGTACAACCAAAACTCGTGGCCGGGGTATTGCAACTTGTACAAGCACACCAATATGCATGTTGCTGCATTGGCATTCACATCTTGTCTTACCCAAAACAAGGATCTTGCAATGAGCAACACAGCTGATGTGATTACATACAGGCACAGTGACGTGATGCCCTTCATTCGGATATGCCAGAACAAGGCACCAGCCCGATTTTGGCGCATCTTTTGCCAGCTGGTGCAAACATGACGACAATGATTGTGGGAGACATCACGATCTTGCATTGGGGTACCGTGCCAGTATTGCAGCAAGCTGATGTAGGAGATCATTGTACAGTGCAGATGACACTGCTGTGTGGCCACACCAGAGACAGAGAGCCCAAGAACCCACTGACTTTCTGACTGATCTGATGTTCTGATGGACAGCTTTCATCCCACTTTGCCAAATGACACATTCCTGACACACGATTCTCTGCAACTTGACACCTTTTGGGCACAGTCAGTTTCAGTGTGAATGATGAGCATTGTCAGCAGTGCCTGAGCGCTTGCCTGTCTTGGAATAAGGTGCACACTCGGCACCAACCATAACAACAGCTGCCTCTTTTCCCTCAGCGATGCAACCGACCCCATTTTGTCTGCTGTCATCGTGATGCATGGCCCCTGCTGTCCGTCTTCGAGCAGCCTGAGTGGCCAACTGGAAAAATTCACAAAGCACAGATAGGCGCTTCATCAAGCAGCCAGTTGTCCAATCTATCAAGTACGAATCTATCCGAGTCTGCATCTGCCACAGCTTCAACTATAGATTGCGCAGAAAGCTCACCAAACTGGGGTTCTAAAATGATATGTGGTGCCTGCAACATCTTTATGATGCAAGATTCGAACCGCCCCTTCCAATCGCAACAATAAGTCTGTGGGGGCCGTCACCAGCTCCAGATGTTTCAAGAAAAGAGATCGGAGAGCGTGCTTCAAGGGTCTACAGGCAGCTGGACAACACACCTTCTCCAAACTAATTGCAGCATCTTCCAATCTTTGCTGTAGTTGGGCTTGGAGCAGCCGATGATCTTTTACCTGCGATAAGCCAGCAAGGCGATGAAGTGAACATGACGAAAGATGCAGAAACCAACAAAACACCTTCCTGCCAATGAATGCTGACACTGTGTGGTGGCAGCAGATGGTGCAAGTACGCCAAGAACGCTGGACTTGGCCCCAGGGCAAGCATAAGAATAGAGGCAGCATCGATAAGTCAACAGTCGGGGTGCAACAGCACATGCACTTCCAGTTTGGCCAGGCAACAACCCCACTGCTTGTGATGGATTTGAAAGTTTGTGATCTGGAGATCTGCCGCTACATAATGAAGACACACCACGATCTTGTGTTGGTAATCCTTTGTGTTACAAATCCAACAATGCCATCTACTCAGGAACAGCAACTGGCACTTTGGAAATGTTGCATTTTGGAAACACAAAGAATGCAAGCAGTCGCTATCACTTTCTGCATACAATTGCAGCTGGACAAGCACGTTACAACCACATATGCATAGAGACATGTTCGCTCCATGGTGGGCATTGATACCTGTGCAATATTGGTTTCAGTTGCAGAGGCTAATGGCAACGCAACTCCATGCGTTGGGCCACTGGTAACAAACAATAACGACCGATCGCATTGTCATTTCCATGCCAATGTCCAATTTCTCCTTACCGGCGATGCTTTTCACAGCACACCAGCAGCACTTGGGGTACTCAGCAGTGCGTGGGAACAGCAACAAGCAGGGGGCATCCACGTTCTGCACATGAATGGAGAATACCAGTATTGTTGGGGACATGAAAGTAAGACCGGCACTTGTGGCTTTGTGTCAGGCTGAATTGTGCGGATTCTATTTGTACAATAACACCATGCGCAGTTCTCTGCGACATTGCCATGGTACAACATCTTCAAGACATTCAGTTCTACCAATTTCGAATCTAAGTGATTCCTTCTTCTATAGTTAACAGGGGTGCGCGTCAGAGGTGCTGAGCAGCAAATGTGGAGCCACAATTGTGCTTGCAAACAGCGTTGGTCATTCGCAGGAATGCCTATTGGCTGCAGGAGCAGTGGCTAAAGATCAAAGCAAGCGGGCTGAAGTCGATGGTTGGACTAAAGGGAGGTCCTAGTCAGCGTTCTATGAGTCACGTGGACAGACAGAAGCCCAATGCTGGCATGCACTGCCGCCAGTGGAAAATTGTTCCATCCATGGCATGTGCTCTGAAGATGAAACCGACCGATGCAGGCGTGAAGTGCAGTCGTCCAGTCATTGTAGTGAGCTCCACACAAAGCTGGCGTGGAATCATCTGGCCCTGCTGCAACCTACCGCGCCAGCCGATTGTAGCCGCTCGGATTTCAGCCAGGTGCTGAAAGCACAACCAAGACATGCGGATGCCCTGACTGGTCCACCTTCTGGTGCCTCACCTCTCAACCTCCATTTTTTTCCAATTTTCTATATTTCTAATCGCTTGGGTTCAGGGAATAGTAACTACTGAAGACGACGACCAGGCGACTAGACCACTAGCCGACCACCAGACTATGTTGGGTCCGGGACGTCGAGTGGGCTCAGGGACTTCATTTTAGTAAGGATGTGCTGATGTGAGCGGAGTGTTAATGGGGCTGAGGGATTTGATTGGTGGATGCGCCGCACGTATTAGGAGCAGCCGGCAGTTATGGCCAGCAACGAGGGTCTGTCGGACGCACTCGCATTCTGTACAACGAACGATGCTTTTGTATCATATAGATAGTCTTGTAAGTCCCCTCCTCTCCGTTCCGCCACGCAGATTCGGGTGTCGCGTGCCTCCCCACTCCCGTCTGCATCCCGCGAGGGACCGTCAGCGGTGCCAGTGAAGGCATCCGCATTTACAACTGCCAGGCGACTAGACTACTACGCGACCAGTGGTGGCGACGACTCCGACCAAAAAATGCACACTGCTAACTACTAATTGGATGCTGCTTCCGGGCGCGCTCAAAGGGCCAATTGCGGCATGCAACGGCCCTCGCCCCAAGCCACACGGTGCCTCCCCTGCCCGCCGGCCCCCCACCGCCAGTCGCCCACCTTGTCCAGCAGCGCCTCGCGCGCCTCCCTCGCGCCCGTCCGCCCCGCTTCGGCCACTCCGCCGCTGACACGCCCATTGCCCCCGCCTGCGTCCACCACCCGCTGCACAATCTGAAATCCCCCTCGGCGGCTCGAAAGCTCCGCAACCCGGTCAGCCGCCGCGTCCACGCGCGCCTTTCGCAACGCGGCCACTTTCCAAGTAGAAAATGGAAAAATTGAGGAGCATGCGGTATTGTGAAGAACCCGCCCTCGAAAGAATCGACCCTGGGATTGGCGCCTGGCGCCATCCCGGATCTCTCGCCGATGGCGCCCCTGCGGCACGGCCGCGCTGGCCGCAAGTGGCGGCAAAAGGACACGGCCATCGCATCCGCGCGATGTCGACGGCGCACCCCTCGCGCGGCGACACGACGACCCCGCGGTGTTTGGCCATGCGAGGTGGCCTTGATGCGGCCTGCCAGGGTGCCGGCAATCCATCTGGCGTTCGGCCGTGTCGGGTGGACTTGGGCGCTCGGAACAGCGCGAAGGAGCACGGGACACGCCAAAAGACTCGGTCAATGGTTAAAACCATTGTTCGCGCCCCGGTGACGCGGCTCGCCCTGTTCGCGCCATCTGCCCTCCGGATGTGCGCAAGTCGCGAAGCCGAGACGGCCCTTGCCGCCGTCGAGAGAAAGGCCGCACCTCCGCCCCTGCGCGCTTGTGCGTTCGTGCGGCCGCCCTTGATGGGAGCGATCCGCGGGCCCGGGGACGCGGGGCCCCGTCGAGGCGCCGGGGCCGGCGGCATGGGGGCAAGGGGGCGGAGGGCCGCGCGGGGCCTTGAGCCCGGCCGGCAGACCGAAGGCCCTGGGCCCCTGTCGCGGTGACTGCGACCGGGGAGGCTGCCGGGTGGCGGGCGCTGGGTGGGCACAAGTACGGGAATTGGGCGAACGGACGATTTTGGATGTGTGTATCGATACAGCGGCGGTATCGATGGCGTGGTATCCACACCGTTGGGTGGTGGCTTGCCTGCGTGGGACGCCGCATAGCCGTCCCGCGACCAAATATTCTGGGGAGAATGTATTAGTCCCTCTGTCTTTTCCGTGAGGATCCCTTCTCCTGCCGCTGACGAAGCCAACGTGGGTCAGGCGGTCAGTAGTTTAGGGCTTAGTTTGTCGAAACAAGAAGGGATCTTCACGGAAAAGACAGAGCAACTAATTTCACGCTTCTTTCGGGCGTGTTCCCAGGCGGTGCCGCTAGCGTGGCTGCGAGTGCTGCTCTATGTGGGGCTCGGGGGGAGCTGGCCCCCTCCTGTAGTATTTCAGAGATTGGCATCTCCCGTTCCTGTTTTCACTTTTTTTGTGCTCCATTTTATGTTACGTGGGGCCTGATTAATGGATCAATCCGTTTGCAACACAATGCAATTGAGCCACGCGTAACGCAATGCAACGCAATTGAGACGGGCATGAATTGCAATACCAAAGTCGTAAATGGGGCATTCGAATGGAGCGCTGTCCAGCACTTGAGGGCCGAATTCTGTGTTTCGAGGGCTGCCATCAATATTGCAGCTACCCAGTTGCAAGTGGTCAAGATGAAAGGCGTGCTTGGTGTCGACTAAGCACTGATGCTGGCAGGAATTTTCTGTGCTATCACGCTTAGTCAAAAGAGGGCATGGGTTGGTCTGGCGGCCCACTGCACCAACTAATTTGCTGCCAACCGTCTGCAAAGTGATGTTGGTAGTATCAACTTCGTACTCGATGGCTGGGTGCTTGTAGCTCCACAGCTGGTGATGTGAGCAGAGCTATGTAATGAATACTGCAAATTAAGGAGCATATGGTTACCCTACAAGGCAGGCTTGGTTTTTACGTTTACGTTTACTTTTTTACTTTTACGTTTTTACGCCAAAAAACGTAAATCTGCAAAAAGGCCTATTTTTACGGCTATTTTTACGTTTTCACGGCTCCCTGGGACACCCAGTTTACACAATGAAGCTGCGTACAATGATCAGTCCTCCGCCATCTCCAGCATCCCCAACACAATGTCCACCTCGCCCTTGGTAAGGGCGAGGATGGTGTTTAACAAAAACTCGTTTTATGCCCCTTCCAGGGCGTTTGGCTGCCACTCTCCAAGCTCCGTAAGTCCGTATGTACCGTCCTTATGTACACCGCGCAGTGTCTACTTTGTATTTACGTATTTTTATGCATTTTTACGTGTGAAAAACTAACGATGATTAGTTTGTACGGCGTAAAAAACAAGCCTGCTTAAAGGCAAGAGAGTGCAGGCGGGAATCACAAAAAAATTTTGCACGTTCCAACAACGTCATACAAGTACAATTACACACTCGTTTACGTTGATGTTGTGTTGGTAGTGTCCTGTCCTGAGATAGATCTGGGATGACATTATCCGATCTGGCGCCCCACTGAACCATCAACTTCTGTGAATACCTTTGCAAAGCAAAGGAAACAGGTTGATGTCAGTCGACCGTTGACCACAACATGGTCAACTAAGCATAGTTGGCGGCAACTTAATGGTGCCCTGTGTGTCACTGTGACCGTTGGCCTGAAACCTAGCGGACAAATGTCCAAACTCAAAATCTCAGTTAGGCTTGTGATTTACTTTTACGGCATCACTTTTACGTTACCGTTTGTACCCTGATAAACACATAAACACAGAAACGACTATGTACACGTATTTGCACGGCGCGTTGAGGCAACCAGGCTGCAAGATGAAGTCGCAAACAATCATCTAGAAATCGGGATGGAGTTGTAGCAACGTTGGCGGCCCTTGTTGCAACGAATGCATACACATATGTGCTTATGCGCTCCGTCACCGTGGTTGTCCTCCTTTGTTCTCGCACAGCTCACAAAAACTTCCCCAAGTATAACCTATTTGGCGTGATCTTTAGCGAATTCCGCGGATTCCAATGCTGCTGCAATTCCCATGCACCAGCGTCTTATAAGCAACAATGGCTTTTGACGTCCATGGCGATTTATAGTGTGCTCAAGTTCATGCCCATTAGCATCAATGGCGTCAGGGGCAAAAGTTCTGGTAGAGCGTTGATGCGCAACGACTGTAGCAGCACTGACAGGCAGCGCATCAACAAACTCGTTGCAGCAAGGCCCATCAACGTTGCTGTAACTCCATCCCGACTTCCAGATGCTGGTGAGTCCTCCGGTCCCTCGAGCACCGGCAACACAGCGCCCACCTCGCCCTCGGCAAGGGCGACGACGTCGTAGAACAAAAGTTCGTCTTCTGCCAGCTCCAGCGTCTCCAGCTGCCGTTCCCGGACTGCCTGTGTCTGTATGTACTGCTGCCATGTACACAAGACCTGTGTTTAAATATTTTGGGGGCATTGCGCCTGAAATATAACTACTATTTATGCGCGTAGATAGGCGAATAAACACAGCGTATTGTGCGCTAAAGACCAAAACTGATCTCAGCGGATGTCCAAAATACATCCATGGCCTCAGGATTATGGCACATATAATTATCTGTGCCATGGCGCTTGTTGCAACAAGTGTCAAAGAGTCAAACTGTGATATTGTGAAATGAAATTATGTAAGCTTGAAAATATTGTGATGGTATTTTTACTGCCGCTTTTGACTGGGAAGTGGGGGCAAGCATTTGCCATGACTTGCGCAGGTTTGATCATGTGCTGGATCAACTTCCACCAGTGGGCACTGTACCAATGTTAGTGAGGCGATTTGCGAAGCACGCCAGTTGATGCTCAGGCTCAAAGTTTGCCACAACAACGACGCTTCCTGCTTTAATCTGGGCAGAAAGCGATGTAATGGTGTGTGTGTACGCTACCGTTGATGCACACCCACATAATGCTGCGCGACGGCCAGTGTATCAGTACTAATACAACGGCGGAACACGCATGAAAGCTTATTGACATGGCTATTGGTTCATTTGCTGATGCGTGCTGTGCACTGAATCAGTGACAATGCAGCCACAACATTGCATCAGCGTCCACTCTTTTCCAAGATGTTGTTGTGCGTCGCTAGACCTGAATACTGCATTCGCAGAGCTCTTCCATATTATGTTTATTCTAGATCTTTCCCTCGCGGGAGATCCTTGTGCCTGGAGCAACAAGGAGAGAACAAAAAGAGCACCACAAGGAAGCACAGCACAGTGCTGCCAGCACATGGCAGCGCTTGTGCCCTATCCCCTAGCGGGTTCCCCTGGGATGCTCTCTATGTGCCGGGATATGAAAATGGAGTGGGCGTGATGGCCTTTAGGACAGCCTTTTGAAAGCAGGGCGGAACCAAGCCGAATTAATTGTCAAACGTTTCAGTGCTGCGCTAGGTTATTAAAACACTATTTGCGAAATGAGGGCGAGGTCGCAGGATGGCTGCGACGAGGAAACTGTTGTTGAATCCCCTATGTACATGCGCATGTGTGTCCATAATATGGTGGAGAACAGCTCACACTCAAGCCCTCGATGGATTATCGGAATCCCCGTAAGAATAGAAGTCCCGCAGCTCCTTGCCAACTCCCACAAAAGTTGTACATGCACTTACCAAACAAAGGGAGGCTGGTGGCAGATATCGAAATTCGAATCGGCAAGGGACGCGATTGAGCGATAATCCACCAGCTTCTTCCCTTCTCCTCTTTGCAATGGAATACGGTGGTCTTCGAGTTCAACACCCTCACAAACGAAGGATTCATGTTGCAGGAGAAGTCGTCTTCAAAATGACGCGAGTGACCCGTTCAAGAGAAGTTGAAAGCAAGATGAAAAATGCAGCCCTCCAACGAGATCTCCAAACTTAGTCGTCCGCACGGGGGTCGAAGCGATACAGTCCCAGTAAAGGGCAACCACGAACATCAAGCCGAGATGACCGATTCTCGACTGGAACTTGCAACGATCCACAGAGCGGTACACCGCACCATCCGCTCCTCACTCGGTGGATGGCGGCCGCTATGCATCACATGATGTTCGTCATGGGACTGATCCCACATACGACACCCGTGGCCCGCCCCCAAAGCCTGTCACTTTCAACCCCTCCGCCACGCCCTTGCCAGATTTTGCTGTCTGGCCGCGCACCCAGGGTGCGCCTGCCCTCGCCGTAATTAGCCCTCCGGTTGTCGCTGTAAATATCCGCGCCCGACCACAACAGAGCGACTCCCTGCTGCGGGCGCCGCCGCGACGGCCAGCCGCCGAGCGGCCCTCTTCTCTCGTACTCCCGGTCGCCAGATCTGCAATTCGCCATGGGCTCCCATGCGCGATTTGACGCGCAATTGGCGCTGACGGCGGTGCTGGCGCTGGCAGCCTGCGCCGCGGCGCAGCGCAGCACCGTGGGGGGGCAGCCGTGCGTGTTCCCGTTCACGTTCGAGGTGCGCCGTCGATCTGAGAGCCGAATTGGGCGCTAAGCCTAGCGCTTGAGCGCGGCCGGCCCGAGCGTCCGCCTGGCGAGGCCTGCCTGCGGATTTGGCGATTTGGCGCGATTTGCCCGTGGGGCGGGAAGACTTGAGGACCGGCAGCCGCCTCGTGGGCGCTCAAGTTGTGCGCCACTCACTGCCCCGTTTCCCTTGAGTGGATGCGCGGTCACAGGGGGCCCTGGTTTGCCGGTGCCGCATGCGCAAGGCGGAGCCCGCGCTCTGGCTAGGGGGGCCCAGGTGGCGCTGGGCAGGCGGCTGCGAGGCCTGTGCTGTGGGCGGCGCCAAGCGGCCGATTCGCGCGCAATCACCCCTCGGCCATGGCGATGGGGCCCATGAGGATGGGCGGGCGGTGCGTCATGTAGATCGCATCCAGGCCCATGCGTGGCACACCTGCGTGGCCGTGGGTGTGCCTGCTCGACTCCAAAAACGAGCTTTCCGCGTTGCGGTGCACTATCCCCTCGCTGCCATTGCCAGAGTGTTGATGCTGGAGGCACAGAATGGGAAGTGAATGAACTGCCGAACGTTGCGGGCGGGTGGAACGGCAGTGAGTTACGACGGCCGTGCATTTTGACATCTTTGTGTGCCAATGGTTTTCTACTGCCAGCCGCTGCGTTTGGTGGCTTGGGTGACTGTGTGTGGCCTGCGGACGGTGCAGGGCCAGGAGTACAACGACTGCGTAGAGTCGGAAGGAATCGAGTGGTGTTCGACGGCGAGTGGTGAATTCGACATGTGTGACCCCAGCAGTGCGCCCAGTGCCTCCGTGGTAAGTGTGATGTGAAATGGCGCCGGCTTGCAGGACGAGCACACCTGCAGAAGCGGCGTCCTCCTGTAGGGACTTGGACGCGCTCTCGCACTCTCAAAAGCACCATGCACTAGCAGAAAAAGGACGAAATAACGCTTTTTGCGAACACATATGTATGCGTTTCGTCAGTGTTCTGCATGCCAAAACCACAAAAATAACCCAAACCCGTAAGATTTGTACACGTTTAAACGCGTGTTGCTTGGTCCTTTTCTTCCTAGTGATGCGCCAAACACCACAGTAGCACTGCCAAAGATGCTATTGGAAGAAGAGTCCCTTCTGGTGCTGGATGCCACAAGAATGCATGAACTGCAGTTTGCTTTGAACCGTGTTGAGCTGACTAAGTCGGGCATCTGTTGCGATCCGTTAAATGGCACCGTAGCGGATCCTCTGAGCCCATTTGCTTCTTCTGTGTCGAGGCTCCTAGTTGCGTTCACTGTATTTTTCTGTATATTGTATTGTTTTGATATTTTCGTCTGGTCGTATTACATTTTTAATGAGCACATATATTAATTAATTATTCATCCATTGGTCAAGTTTCATTTGTTTATGCACTAATTGTAAATTATCATTTTAGTTGATTTCCTTATGTTACTGCAATTGTTATAATTGCCATTGCAAATTGCTCCCTGCAGCGTGGGCATTTTGACCGCGCTCGCACATCGACTGAAATGTATTGAAATGGACTGCTTTATTTTGTTGTGTGCCACGACAGCTGGCCGCTCTGCTCCGATGAACCATCGTTTCTCAGCGCCCTTTCGAGCGACGAGCTGTACCTCAGAAACAAAAGAATTCAGCCACTGCCTGAAAACCAATTATTGCAACAATTAGCGCAATGCATGAGCGAAAGGAATTGTTGGCTGCGCAGGCCACCCCAGTTGCTGCAACCCCGACGCCTCCTGTATCATTCGCGAATGGCGGATCCGACTGCTGCGGCCTGTTGGCGGGCATTGGCTTCAGCAGCAGTCTGCCGGTCGTCATCATCGATTCCGGTGGGCAACAGATCCCGGACGAGCCGAAGATCCAATCCTACGCCTGCACGTGCAATGCCCCAGGTGGGTGGAATCTCGGAGGTGGCAGCCTTGGCTCAAGCACATGTTTCGCTTCTGTTTAATTAGAAACATGCCGGGAGACTGTGGCTGCATTTGCCCTTCCGTGAGCTTCGGTTTTGTGTCTGCTTAACACATGGACTGCGCCGGAGCAGTTCACTTTGGGGCACAGCGCTGCAGGCTGTTGGACTTGCAACTCGTGGGCTCTCGAGTTTGGGCAAGGGGATGGCCTCTTGCTTGCTGCATCCACTAGCAGAAATACATACGTATATGCACATGTATGCGAAATATATATGTATGCATTTCATCAGTGTTCTGCAGGCTAAAGAAACAAAAACAACACAAAGCCCGTAAACTTTGTACACGTTTGAACACGCGTTAGTTGGCCCTTTTTTTTTCCTGGTGATCGATATTGCAACATTAGTGTTACATATTCCGTCCCACGTGGGCCCACGTGAACCAACGGCTTCCCACGGCCCCCCCTTCCTACCTGGGGCAGCCCGCGATTCTGTCACCCTATAGGGCATTAGCGCATCAAATGGTGCATCGATGCAGATACGGCTCTGGCGTTTCCAGATCTCCGGCGGCGCATCTAGCTCCCCTGTAACTGCGGTCCGCGGATTCAATGGATGACATGACACCCACCAGCTTGGCGGATTGCCTTCCTGTGAATTGAGGTTTGAGAACTTAGCGCATGTGGATTCAATTCCTCAGGAGGAGACGTCGCCGGCAGCGTGGGCATTGAGATTCGAGGCTCCACCTCTGCACGGGACTTCTTAAAGAAGTCGTTCGCTGTCGAGTTTCGGGATGAGCAAGGAAACGACATGGACGTGACATTCATGGGTGGGTGCCAGCATCTGGCAACAAACGCCGGTCGCTCAATCTGCGACCACGGGCAGACAGCTTCGTGCTGCAGACAGTGGCCGCAATGGATACGAACGTTCATTTCCGATTTGCGTATGAGCAATGCTTCTTTTGCAGTGGATGTGATTTTAACTCACGTTTGCAAGCTACTTTGAAATTGTGTTACGCCTGTGTTTGTGTGATGAAGATGTTCGCCTTGGAAAGAGGCTGCGCGCTGAAGCGAGACCCAAGCAGTGTGATTGGAAGGGTTTCAACCACAAGAATCAATTGTCCGTTACGTGGTACACAAATTGTTCTCAATTGTTGATGAGAGGTGGTCCTTTGCACCAAGCGCGTCACTGACTTCGGGAAATGCTGTGTGCTCTTGCCCTTGGGAGCCGAGACCCAAGAGCACGTGAACTGCTACGTTTGTCTTTGTTTCTGCTTGTGTGCGCACGTCAACGCACAGCGCATACGTCCTCTATGGCTACATCATAACGGATTGCCGTGGTGTGGGTGCGGGGGTGCTCTTGATGGCTCCATAGTTTACAAGGTGGCTGTCCATGTTGGCGATTGAATCTCTTGTGTGGCTTTGAATGGAAGGTTTTCCGGAGGACAGCGACTTCATTTTGTACGGTGAGTGTCGTCTTTCACACTGATTCTCGCGGCCTGCTCACCCGAATTCGCTCGCTTGCATCCAAGGGTGTTGTGTTCGTGATGGAAACGATTCTGACTACTAACGGTGGGAATGGGGCATCGTGGTTCAATGCCGCCAACACGGATTCGCGTCACTAGGTGTCCTCCGCTGGTGAAAATTGACAAATACAGCAACGTTTTGATTATGCTCCAAGACCCTCGTGAAACACGATTCGTACCATTGATGCATTAGCACATGCACGGCTGCAATGCGTGGGAGACTTGAAAGTTCGCCTGTTCTCCACAGCAAACGGAAATCTGGTGTTTGACAACACAACTGCAGACGCCTCTTGACTTTGCAGATGTTTGAAATCCGTCTGGGTACCTTACAGAAACTGCTTTTGGACTGCGAGCCACATCGCTTATACCCCTCGTATGATGAGCATGACTGCCAAAAAGATGCTGACATGGTGCCCACACAACATGCTACCGTAGTAACATAGCGAACAATATTTACAACGTTATTCCATTTGTTTTACATTTGGATTGCCTTCGTGCCTGCTGTTGCGTTTGTTTGGGTACAGTCTCAATGCTGCAAAACTCAGACATCAAATTTGTGTAAAGAATTCTCTGTGCAGTCTGCTATCACACAAAAGCAAGGATGCAAATGTGCTGCAGGACCTGAAATGGACAGAACGCTGGGGATGAAAAACTACCTCACAATGGCACTTGCCAGGGCTATGGGGAGATACGCCTCCCTCACAAAGTACTGCGAGGTGTTCTTGGTTCAGGTGAGACGACCACACGGCATTTTCCTTGGGCCTGCCCGGGCATCTCATATTCGCACATATTGCACAGCACAACCCGCTGGGCATGCCACTGGGCCTGCGCAGGTGCTGTTGCTCATTACAGTGAATCCGAAAATGAATGTCATGTCACCGGCACATGCAATGGAAACTTGTAATGTCGAAGTTCAAGTGTCAGAGTCGGCCGTTGGGCCAATGTTCGATGTTCCATCAGTATTGGGCAGAGCTGTCGTTGCTCGTATTGCTTGAGTACCAGAGATAGCACAGTTGTGGCAAAGAGAGGTTTAGGCAGAAAACAGGATTCTCTCGAGTGGGGTTAGAGATTATGCAAATCGTGTGGAGAGCAGAACAGAGGGGATGATGTGCCATTCGTGGAGCCAGCTGCCAGCATGGTTTAGGTTGCAAGGTTCGGCTCATTGTTCTGGCCGTGGTGGGCAACACCGAAGAGTTGGATGGCACCAGCGTGGGCCTGAAGCATCTATTCCCGCCCTTCGTTTCTCTCTGGTACATGCGCCGTGGCATCCAATCACGGGTATAGATCTCTTGGAGCATGGTGTGGGATACGAAAGGGCTCTAGCAGAGATGTCGCCGAATACGCCCCACAGTGCCGAACACTGATCTGCGGTGCAAGCAATGAAAAATTGCTCATAGCATCGGTGACGGTGGCATCAACGTAACTGTCCAAGGGCGCAGTCTGGTGACATTCAATCATTCTTTCCACCACCAATTTCGAGAGTTCTGAAACACTGACAAAAAGCACTTTGGAATGGTCTATTGTTTGCGATCCAGTCATGGAGACACACAGGCGAATGCCCATGATGCTTTGTACTAATGACTACGCGCCTGCCAGGTCTCTATGTCTCCAAGTTAATTGCCACTTCAATAAGGTTGTCAGTACGAGGTTGAAAACTCCTGGGAGCTGTCAGATTAGAAACAGTGCATACTTTGAAAAGAGAATTGCGAAGTCTCTCCAGATTTTAAACAGCTTTGCCATCACTGTGATACCTCCAGGACGGAAGGCAGCTGTCGATCGACCATTACAACGGCATTTACATCGCCATGGAGAAAATCAAGAGGGACAAGAACAGAGTGGACGTTCAGAAAAACGAGGGTGACATTTCCGGTCAGTGGGAACCATCAAATCCCATTTTTGGGGTGCCGCCTGCGATCCTATCTTGACATTTTTTGCCGACGCCACCACAATCTGCTTGTGCGATACACTTAGTGCCGAGATGCCACTGCCGGCATCGCCAATATGTTGTTTTCCGCTGTTGAATGCTTCAGGAGCATTCAGCAGCGGAAAACCACGGAATCCCTTGCGATGGCGTTCGCAACGCTCTGCAAGACCCTGTTGGCTTCATGCTCGCAGGTGATAGAACCCAATATGATGATGGGTTGTCCTGGCTGTGATTTTAATGTCATTCGCAAACATTGGCAGAGGTTTTCAGGCTTGGTATTTACGTTTACGTTTACGGCTTTACGTTCACGTTTCCATGAATAAAATTGTACATTTGCGAAAGGTGCTATTTTTACGGGTTTTTTACGTTTCTGCGGCTCGTTGGGACACCCAGGTTACACGAAGAAAGTCACGTACAATGATAAGCCGACAGCCATCTCCAGCATCCGCAACGCAATGTCCACCTCGCCTTCGACAAGGGAAAGGACGGCATGGAACAAAAGTTCGTTTTCTGCCCATTCCAGCGCGTCTGCCTGCCACTTCCCGGACTCCCTAAGTCTGTATGTACTGTACTTACATACACAACTCTGTATTTCGTTGTATTTACAAATGTTTACGCGCAAAAACGTAGAAACTATTTTTATGCATAAACTGTAAATACCTTGTGTGTCTACGGCGTAAACACCGAGCCTGGCCGTTTCTTCTACGTCCGTCACACAGTGCCCCTCGTTTGTGGCTCATTCCCTGCACCTGTCGCGCCATTGCAGGCGGCTACATATTCAAATACGACAACGACAACTTCGACGAGGGTGACAAGAAAATTGTATCCACCTACACAAAGCTGGAGTTTGTCTGCGTGTACCCAAAGAAGACCAAAGTGTCGCAGGAACAGCTTGACTGGATGGGCAGGTGTGCAGTGCCCTGGCGTGGTGTTTTATGTTTCAAACCTACTGGGAGATGATCGCCATGAAGTTGGCACAGCTTGATAACCTTCAGAATGCAGCAACAGATAGGTTCCGCTAGGGAAGTATGAATGAATTTTGGACCCCCAGGTATCTACTCTAATGCATGTATTATTACATAGCGACATGGGAAGGCCCATAGAGATGTATCGCAACAATAATTCAAGACGAGAAAAACTGGCAATCGTTCCGCTTGGCCCAGTTCTGCCATCATTGGTGGAAATTCAACGAATAATAATAATTAGACTGTCGAATTAAAATTCCTGGAATTTGCATTGCTGTGCAAACACTGAAACAAATTTTCAATGTTGACCTCATATTTGCGGGTTTTGTTCATGCAAATCACCAAGTACCATGCGGCTTGCCACCCTTCGATCAAGATCATTCTTGATGATGAGCCCTGGAAGCAAGGAACCATCAAGAAAAGAGCAGTGGAAAGATGCCACGGTAGCGGGACCAGCAAAAATTCAGCGCAAGCACTCTATCCGTGCTGTGCGCACCACCGTTGACACTCTTCTTGAACAGAATGTCGCGATGCGCGACAGGCCTGTGAACGTACTGGGGACCTGGCGCAGCTGACCGCTATAATATGAATGTGGCCACATGTGGTTTTCGTCACTGCACAAGTTGAGTTTGTTCGACAAGCAGTGGCGCAGAACAGACTTCGTGCTTTTGGCTTCAAGGAATGTGCCACTTGAAAAGCGCCCTGCTCACATTGAAATGTGCCGCTGCAAATCTGCCGCTGTCCGTGCTGGCACAGCCGAAGCCCTTCAGGTGTGCCTTACAAAGAAGTAATTAAAGACAGGCTCTGTGGCTATGAAAGAGTGGACGCACGGCAGTTGCAACATTGCGCTCTGATCATTGCGGCTGGCACAGAAACTGCGCTACTCTGACCTCAGTGAGTGCAATCGCTTGCATGGCAGCTACATGGGCGAAATGGAGCAGGCGCTGCAGTCACAGGATCGGAATCAATGGACGAGGTACATTGACGAAGGCACCTTTGTGGACTACTTCTTAATCACAGAAATGACGAAAAACCCTGACGGGTACAGGGGATCCACATATTACTACAAGGTGCGGTTTCATGGCGATCTGACATGCGTAAATGATGTCAATGTTAAGAATAGAAGCACTGAACTATTTCTGCACAGTTTCTGTCCAAACTTTGTGCATTATATTTATGATATGCATTTGTTGAGTTGCAACATGGAAGGAGTTACTAGTTGCTGCCAGATAATGTCCCATCAGGTTCGCGCTTTTTTATTTTGCATAGGGTCATATGGGTCATGTATTGCGGCATCTGCGTTTTCCACAAACAAGAATGAACCAGGGATCTCCGCACAGGCGTATGTCTGGGTTGTTTGCCCGAGGAATGCACATTCGTTTATGAGAACACAGGGTGTTTTCGACGCCAAACAGAACGGCACAGCCTTGGCTTATGTTTTAGCGTTCTGTCTTACACCAAACCCAGTTGGTACCAGGCGGACGAGAGGTTTGAATTAGATCTGTATTGCACACCATCTCCGTGCCTTTCACAAGACATATATGTCGCGTATATGCATGAAAGCGCTTCCGAATTCTTTGGCAACAGTATATGTATTTTTCCGTACAAAGGCGCATTTCTCTCTGCGAAGATTCTCCATTTGGAACAGCCTCTGCCACTGCATGGTAACAGTTGAATAATGGAATGTGCCATTATTCTTTTAGAGCTAAAAGACGCCCTTGGCATCACGACACTGCCTACTTGAATGTGACACAAACAATTCCAAAGAACAATGTGTCGCAGTTGAACACAATCTCAGCAGAGCGCTGCATGCATCAGTTGAGTTCAGCACACCATGAATTGGTGTGTCACCTCTAAAACGCACGGTCCAGTTTGATGGCAGTCTTGTGGCCCAGATGCACCGGTGTTCACCCACCCGCTCGTTTTCAATCCCTCTCAACCTCCCTCGCTTCCGCAGGACGCTGGAGGGCCCCTGGCCGCGGGCCCCGCCTGGGACTACAACGAGGCGTACGGCTACTGCTGCGGCTATCCCATCGAGGGCTACCAGAACAACGGGGAGAGCACTGGAATAAGCGGCGGGAGTGCCATTTCTCCTGAGGGCTGGCGGTACAACATCTGCATCGACAGGGAGCGATGCGTTGTGGATCCGGACGACGGGACCTCGCAGTACTTCATGATGCTGATGTTGGTGCGTCGGCGGTGGGACAGACGTCGGTGCAAGTCAGTGTCAGCGCAACGCCTCACGTTTTCTCCGCAATGGACATGTGCATCATTCCGCGGAGGGGCGCATGACCACTGCAGCTGGGTCCATCCCGTCGTTATGCGGATGTACCTAGCACTGACAGTTATGACGCATGTGGATGCTGGAATGCACGAGTGCATCCGCATGAAATAGTTATGTTTTTTCACTCTGTGCTGCCTCGCATGACCATAGGGATTGTCTCCGGCACTGTTGCACTTCCTGTGCTTCTGTCGCCGAGCAACGGCGATCGTAAATTGCCAGGTCCGTGTCTTGCGCTTTCTCAATTTGAGCCCCTTCAGTACTTCTTCGAGTCTCTTTGGTAAGCTTGGACAATCTTTCAGCCCCTTGTCAGGATCTCTCTGCCTATGCAATGTTGCATCGGCTGACAGAAACAACCGGCTGATAGACTGCGTATTTGCAGCGAGAAACACGCTCCCCGTGTTCGCGCTCGAGAATGTCCAAACTGCGGCATTTTGAATCTTAACGTGGGCGACGAGACCCCTGGATGCTGTTGCCAACTCACGTGTCTTCGTTCCGCAAGCCGCGCTTCGCAGGCACGCATTGTGCCTCGTTAACGGGTAAAAATCTTCGCAGATTACGTGGAATCTGGAACGGGTAAAACACCGCCCAGATATTTTGCACACGAACGTTCGCGCGCTGTCGCCGTGCCAAAGATGATCCCTTACTGTGCAGGACCCCGAGTTCCAGGCCTCCGTGGCGGGTCGATGGCAGGAGCTTCGGGCGGGCCCATGGAGCACAGGCTCCATGGTGGGCCTCGTCGAAGGGCTCAAGGGCCAGATCCGGGAAGCCGCCCTGAGAAACTACAAGAGGTGGGTGGAGCGCGCGGAATCTGGCACGCGCGTCCTCAGCCCCGCTCGCTCCCCTTGCCCAAGAACTTGGTGCACTGGGAATGGCGTCGAAGCAAGCCATGCTTGGCACCCCCGGACATGTCGATGACTTCAACCAATTGCGCCACGAATGCGGACAACGTTGCATTCATACGAAATGCGAGCGCCGCTGTTCTGTTTCCTGACCGACCTCCACTACCGCCATGGGAGGTTCGTCCGATACCTATCACTTCCAGATGCGGAAATCACCAAGGGGTCATGAAAGCCACCAGGGCGCCAAAATCTAAGATTCATTAGCAGTAATACTCTAGAGCAGGTGACCTTCAGGCCCATTCATGTCCGGAAATGGAAGGCATCGGACATCTGTGTGAGGCAGAGCCAGATTATGTTCAAACGACACCAGGTGGCTGCCAATTTTGGACGGAAGTCGATTCAGGTTGCAGTGTGGAGAAGAGGCGCGCGCTGTTTTGAATCCTGACGCTTGCCGACGCGGTGCGCAGGTGGCATGAGGCGCCGCTGTTGGAGGGCGCCACGACCGACGACGAGAGCAACCTGGCAGTCTGGACTTTCGAGGTCGACAAGTTTGCGGACTGGGTTAGGGAACACGCGGCGTGGATCGACGGGCAGCTCACCAGTAGCCCCGGTTTGGGGTAGGCACTTGATGTTGCCGTAGCCGGCCCGCACCATGGGCGCTCGCCGCTCTTTGGCAGTGCCATGATGAAGGGCGGTTGTGCAGGATGTCTTAAGAGACTTCTTTGAACGAGCAATGACCAGCAGGGTGATTGGTCGCCTGCCTTCGCGGCATTTCTCCCGATACATATCATTTGCTGACACAAAATGTTAAAGCGAGCGCAATTGATGCCTGCAGATCAGCGGATCCCCTGCGCTGGTGTGGGCCGGATTTTGGAGCAAGCGCATGGCGCCGCACTTGGGGCCATGGGCGTGCTCTGGGAACGGCGTTGATTCGCTGCACTGTGGCTTCGATGCAAGGGCCCCTGCTGACGGGGCCGCCGTTGATCACGTTGTGTTGCTTGTTGGATCTGCACCCCAAGTTAGTAGTATTCCACGTTTGTAGCACAAGATGGAAATGTTCATTTCACTGTGTAGCTTGCAGAGCTTTTTGAGAGAACTTCAAGCTTTGATTGGTCGTAGTGACGGCCACGCCAACGGGCATGTTGCCATGGAGCAAGGTCAAGTGTAAATATGCCAGTGTTTCGTTACTAAGAAGCTCTGAAGTGGAATGGCTCCCAAGAGGCAGGACTTCTCCTTGCGATGTCTAGAGGTCTGTATCTGCAGTTGGGACATCGGGATACAGAAGAGTTGCTTGAGCAAATGATGAGTGTTCTGAGCAATCGATCATGTTGGCACTAACCCAACGGTAGTGGTAAAAAAGTAAAGCGAATATCCATCCAGTGCGTGTCACGTGCTGGCCGGCCAATGCGGATGCAGCAAATAATCGTTGCCGGAACGGTGGGGTGACAGGGATGTGAATGGACCCACGCCCAGAACCTCGGAAACTCTGAATGAGCTGATTCACGAAGCCAATGCAACAGCCTCCATATGTGGAGGCGAGGGCCACAAGTTTGCAAGGAGAACGCCGACTGGCTACTGCGGAATGCACTGATCGGTCCAAATGTATTGCAGTTGTATTGACACTTGAAAGCCATGAATCCGTGAACGAATCTTGAGCGCATCTTGAATGCCGTATCCTCTAAAGGTTCGAATCGCAACTGGGGTAAGCGTCCACTGTCTGAACGGGAGGAAAATGGCGATATAGAATGATGGCCGACAGTTCAGTGATTCAGGGCTGTTGGTTTCTGGGCAGCTGCTTGCTGATACAGCAGTCGCCGCGCGCTGATTGTGTTGCAACTCCATCACGAACATCAGTTGATGTGCGCGAAGCCAGCAGTTGTCTCCAAAATGGAGAGTGGCTTCAATGCGCCAGGGTCGGACACCAAAGGTTCTGGAGAAGGAAATCCGTCGTATCGCATTCGACTACGATCGGTTCCTTTCTTACCTCACACGTGGGGATGTACATGGAGGCTCCCCACCATACAGCATGGGCTGTGCTACCGGGCAAGAGGATTGCAAGTGGTTCGCTTGCAGAGGCAGTGTGTAAGGGGCGATGTGGTTTGCTATGGTTTGGGAACCGTACAGTGCCCAGATACGCTCCCAGCACCTGTGGCTTGGAGGCGATTTGTTCACCCGATCGGCCGTCTTTGTACACAGTTGTTTTCCCTTCTCCTCGTCATCTAACTAGTCGCCCTCTCTTTTCAGTGGAGATCCCTTCTCCTTTCGGACGCCCTGTACACAGATGTCTTCCCTTCTCCACGTCATCTAGCTAGTCGCCCTCTCTTTTCAGTAGAGATCCCTTCTCCTTTCGGACGCCCTAAACTAACATATTTTCATGTTCACGCATCAAACTCACTAAATCCATTCTTATTGAAAATAGCGTAAAAATGAATTAAAAATATAAATTAAAAATAGTGTCTCAGCCGCATCAGATCGAATGCACACGCTCCTGCGCAGCGACCGTACCGCCTTGCTCCGCCGTCGCGCCCCTTCCCCGTGCCCCATCCCGTTCAGCCCGCCGCCGTACCGTGGCCCAAGGCCCCAGTTTCCCCCCGCCCACCGCCGATGCTGACGCGGCGGGCGCGACGCCCTCAGTCATGCCCTGCTCCCAGCTCCACATGGCCGCGCAGGCCAGGTGGCCGTGGGGGTCACCGTGACTGGCGAGGCCACCGTGAGCGCGCCGGTGCGCGCGCGGGTGAAGGCGGCGACCCGCACCGGCGAGCGGGGCGGCGTGCCGGTGAGCCCGCGGATCGCCCTGCGTCGTCGCAACGCCCCATCGCATCCCTGAGGCCCCACGGGGTCAAGGCCGGGGCCGTGATCGCGCTGCGGCCAGGCCGGACGCCAACGTCGCCCGGGGCGTCGCCTGGGGCCCTTTGGGGGACCAGGCCGCGCCGCGTGGGGGGAGGAGGGCACGGGGACCAGGTCAAGGGGGACGCAGGGCGCGGCGTGAGCGGTACCGCTACCCCGGTGTATTGACCGTGGAGCGCCAGAGGGCGGTCTTACGACAGGGCGCCCCACGGGCGAAGTCGGGGTGAGGAAGCGACGACCGCTTTGCGACGGCAGTGCCGGGCGCCGCGCTGCAGAAGCTGCCTTACCCGAGTTTGGCCTCCCCAGGGCGCTGCGCCCTTCGGGGCGATGACACCGCATGTGACTGTTTGGCGCTTGCTGTTGTTCCCGCTACTCTGGGCGCCCGCACGCGGGGAGGGCGCGAGGCGCGCGGGCCCGGACTCGCGACGCGCGACACGGGCCATCGGCTGTTGCGGCGTTTGTCCAAGAAGGCAATGGAGGCCGGAAGGCGGCCGCCGCCGTTGCCCGGCCGTTGGCGATCGCGTCGAAGGTGACGGGTCGATTCTGAACGAGTCGCGCGAGAGGCGTGGATGCGGAAACGAGCCGGCGAAGGTGGGGAGCCAAAGGGAAGTTCGAGGGCGTTGCAGAGCGTCGCGAAGTTATCGCGGGCGAGGCGCCTCCCCTTGTCCTGAGCGAAGCGGAACTGTGCGTGCGCCAACGGGCCGGGCCTTCAGGACAGCGAGTCGTTCAGGCGGGGATGGCTGTCGGGCGTCGTGCAGCCAGCGCTTGTATGCGATCGACGTGCGGCTGGCCGAGGCACCCCCGCGAAGCTGCAGGGCGACGCCGAGCTGTCGTCGTCTGAACTCGGAGGCGGCAGTGGCCGACATGCGTATATATGCCTGCTATGCACCGCGACATTGGCAGTGACTGTGCGGGTGAGTGGGCAACGGCTTGCTTGCCATGGACTTATCCAATGCCCCCGCACATCTGACACGAGTTTCCGGGCAGCCACCTCGTCCATCTCTGCATTTTTGCAGCAGGTGCGCAGGGCGAGGCACCAGGGGCGTCGGTCCATGCGGTCATGCACGGCTCCCATTGCAGGACTCGTCGTGGCCGCCGTTTTGCTGTTGGGACAGGCGTCGCCAACGGCCGGTGAGCTATGGGGCAGCCAATCCAGAGCGCTCCTGGCGACCAAGGCGAAGCTGAACTCCAAGCGGTTGAGGTCTCTCGGGGTGCCTGAAGGTGCGGACATCCTCTTTCAGCTCGCGTCGGATTGCCCCCAGGACCTGGACTCCGTGGTGCTCGCCAGGATGGGCCAGCAGTGCTTCATCATCAGCAACATGCGCAAGTGCCTGAACATCTCCCAAGACGCGCCGCAGTTCGTCTTCAAGGGGTGCACCAAGGCGGATGGCTGTCCGTCGCATTTCTTCGGCCCCGAGAAGACGGCTTGCATACTGGAGGGACTCGGGATCAGCGTGTTGGAGAACGGGGACTGCGAGGGCTGCAGGTAGGAATGGCACTGTATTGGGCCCATGCACAACGGCCAGATGCGCCACTGGATGGCACCTCCTGGGCAAAACAAGTGGGGCACTTGATAGCTGGCACACACATACTTAGTACTTCGGCCTTGTTATTCTTGGTAGTGCTTAGCAGTCCGCAGTGCCTTAGCCTTCCGCCCATTATGCTCAACAAGATGTCGAATGGCAAAGGATTGGCCAGTCAGATAGACTATGGTGGTGCCGGAAGACAAGCAGATGTTGACTTGCACACAGGCCGGTTGCAGCTGCCATTCTGTTCCCATCTGTATGTCGTGTTTCAGCATTTCATCTGTTGTTTTCCAATTGGCTTCAACAGCTCGGGCAGCACTGTGCCACACTCCCAAAGGTAGATGCCTGTAGGAAAAGTGAGAAAGTGCCAACAGTGCAGAAGCTGAATCTGGCTGATACAGTGTCCATCAACAATCCTTTATCAGTGGAGCATGCAAAGGATCGCAACGGTCGTCTCATAAGCACAGTGAGTTTCACAGGGGTGATGGATTTTTTGTCACTGGGTTGTCCCACTCTGGCAAACACAGCTTCACCCAGTGCCAGTGTGTTCAATGTCCAATACCATCCTACCTCCTACCACCTATACCATTCTACCTAAGTGAAACTGGGAGAGTTCACTTGCAGTCAGGACCACAGGCCTGGACCAAGAAGTATAACATGATGCTCCACTCATGATGCTCTCACTCATTTCTGTCCACGGGGCATTTGCATGTACCTGCGGATACAACATGTAGTATGTCACATGCCCGTTGGACAGTGCGTTTGTGGCACTTTCAAAAAGTAAGAAAGCTGATGCCAAGAAGTATATGGACGAGTTGTGCAACCCATAATTCCCCTTGGGCTTTCTGCGTGTATGTAAAACTGTGACAGAAAGTCATCAGACGTTGGTTGCATCTCCTTCAGGCTGCGTCTGCAAGAAATTCGAGAATGGAAAAAAATTGACGGATGAAGAACCGTATGCACTCACCTTCCTTCGCTGCTGCAGGTGTGGCATTCCACCTGGCAATGACCACCTATTTGTGGAAAAGGCGTCTACGAGCTCCAGACGCATTGCAAATGTGCCACACTCCAACTGCTTTATTGCGCAGCCCAAAAAGTTCAACTTCACAGTTCAAACGGTGTGCACAAACGGCAGACCCACTTCGGTGAACAAGTGGACGTTCAAGTTCCCGAAGAAGGCCAATGACAAGCCCTACGACTGTATTATTAGCCGCAGGTGAGCCAGGTTCCATACACCCCCGCTGGTGTGTTGTAAGATAGCATTGTGTAGTTTTCTCTAGCAGCGGAGTCCAAACACAGCATTTTGCCTGAAAAGACAGAGATGTTTCTGGGCTTCATCTTGGCACAACTCGTGTGTATAGCCAAGGGTTACCACTGATGCAGCCAGTGTTACCACTATTGGCACTCACCATTTTCATCGATAGGCACAATCTAAGCACGTGTATGAACTTGGGGAATTGGCCAATCTTTTGCAAGCGACATGGGGATCTACCTTTCGCCCTGCAGTCTGTAAGGGGGCTTAATTGCTTGTCTTCAGCGTCATTGATGCATGATCCACAGGCAGTTGTTGTGTCATCCTCCCGTGGGCGTTTGCCAGCCGAGTCAGCCATGCCTTCCGAGCATGGCCTCTGCTGAACAAGCACTAGTAAAAAACCGTCCAAAGTACATGGTCCTGCAAATCGTGTACCGTGTTATGCGAGTAAAAAGCGTGTAAAAATCGTGTACCAATCGTGTACTCATTGCAAAGCACACGGCTGGAGCTGGTACACGGTTGAAATCGTGTAAAACCGTGCTCTTTATCGCGTTGTCCATGGTGGTAATGTGGACCACTTTCGTGTACTACACAGGGCTGAAGAGTACAGGATTTACCAATCGTGTAAAATCATGCTCCAAAGCACCCGATTCTTACGCGATTTCACACGATTTTACACCGTGTCAAATGGTCGAATTTTTACGTGTGAATCGGTCAATTGCATGTGCCCCGCCAAGGTACATGCAGCAAGAAAAGAGGGCGGTGTTTATTCAGCATGGATGTCGCCACGATATCGTATATGATCGATCGTATCCCAGACGACGCAGGGGCTCAGGAATAAGTAGCTCCCTCCCGAAATGCCATTCAGCACATTGGCAAGACGTTGCCTTTCAAGTGCATGACGATCGTAATCGCGATGCAGTTGAATTCGCGGCAAGTCTGTGCCTCAAAAAGGGGCGCTCCCTTCAAGGACACGATGGCCGTCGAAATCACCGGTTTCCATTGCAAGCGAAAACATGCTCTCCTCCGTAGCAGCACCGCTTATGACGCTTTTCTTGGAAACTGCCCGTCCACGGGAACCCTGGTTTTGCATGGAAAGCACCCTATGAACTGGCCTCCGTGGCTGCTACCACCCATTGAAGTATACTATTAATGTTAAAGCGAAAATGACAAAATGGGGTTCCTCCGTGACAAAAGTATGTCCTCTGCGGGGGTTGCAAATGACAAAAGGAGGTCCTCTGACCGGCCCCTGTACATTAGACGCGTTGGCAGACCGGCGCCAGACCGGCGCCGGTCTGCAACCTGGTCCTACTAGGGACAACCCCACAAAGGACCCCCTTTTGTCATATGAACCCCGGCGGAGGACCCCCCTTTTGTCAATTTCCCTCTTGGGGGTGCTGTGGGGGTTTGTGGGGTTTTTGCAATGCCACGTAGACGACCACCCCTGCCCTTGGTGTATCATTAAATGCTATTGGTCTCCGTGAAATACATGAAGCATTATGAGCAATGACCTGATTGTGTTTGCAGCTTCAAAACCCATCAAAAAAGGACGTGTAGTGCGAAGTCTGAAGACATGGCTTATAAGCCTAAACACTTCATTCTTTCCAAATCGTTAGCTTCTCTGGACTTTTACTTCATTCTGGGCATTCCACAAACATGCACGCTCACATACATGACACAAAGGAGCGAGTACTGCATTGGTTTCTGAACATGTGCCTAAAAATAAAGTTGTTTTGCGTTGAATCTGCACGCACGGAGCAAAGTGGCTGTCATGTTATTTTGAGATCACAAGACAGTACTTTGTGTTTAGTTGGTGCATTTGCTGCCATAAATGATGACTGCGACACAATGACCCCTCACTACATGGGTCAGCAAATTGTAGAATTGTTTGGGAACGATCGCGAGTTGTGATTGATGGGCTGTGTTCGATGTGCAAGGTCATTGTGACGGTCGCGATGCAATGAGGTGCATGCAATGTATGTTTTTGGCAAAATCGGAAATGGCAGGGCCTGACGAGTCCGAAAATGGTAGCCTGGCCATTTTTCGGACTGTGGTTTTCCACAGCTCAGCCATGAAAAACGTCAATAGGGCTTTGTTCTTGCGTTCAGGGTTCATTTTTTCCAACTAGATGCTGCCAATGTCTTCATTTTGCAAAGAGTTTCTACAAAATCAAAGCACAAGAAGTGTCGTGCATCTGCCAGCGCTTGTGCGTTGTAGACTTCAGCCTTCAGAAAGCTCGCAGAAAAACATGCTTCCTCCGTCCCAGATTAATTGTCATCTATTTGAAAGGCTAAATTTCTTATGAGGGCGGCCTCAGAATTTCAAAACAAGATCAAAATTGAAAAGATTGCATCTCAAAAACCTTGAATATCAATTTCCAAGAAGAAAAAGTGAGACATGACTTTTTTGAGCGCAAGGCGAAGGTAAATTTTGGTCATTTTTGACCCCAAATATTGAGATTTACTATATAAAAAGAGCCTTGATACAAAGTACTGCCAGATCCTCAATACTTAATGGATTGACTTGAAATTTTTATGGTGTACTCCCAACTCAAAAACACTACCGTAGACAAAATTTTGTTAAAAATAGATGCGTGAATAATGTAGAAATGATGCCCCAAAATCATAGACGACAATTAATCTGGGACGGAGGAAGTACATCCACAACCCCCTTAAGAGGGAAATTGACAAAAGGGGCCCTTTACCCGCATCCAAATGACAAAAAAGGGTTCTCTGCGGGGTCGCCCTACTAGGACCGGGTTGCAGACCAGCGCCGGTCTGGCGCCAGTCGGCCAGCTCGTAATGTACAAGGGGGTGGCCAGAGGACCCTCTTTGTTCATTTGCACCCCCGCAGAGGATCCCCTTTTGTCACTTTCCCAATGTCAAAACAATTAATGTGTTAAGACGATAATGGGTAATACCCCCTGTTGCGATCGTCACCCTAGCGTAGGCTCTTTGGTGTCCCCGGAAAGGGCTCGCCTGCGCTTCCGCATCGACGACACTGAATTACGGAGGACTTCGTTTGAACGCTGGGGGAGCACTTCCTTGCATGCCTTATGACATAAGCTTGCGTGCATCGCACCTGTGAGATGACGCAAGATTCCTACAAAAACCGCCATTGAAGGTGCAGCTCCGCTAATGGCAAACTGCCGTTGTGCCGTGAGCAGCAGAGTCACGTCCACGGGTGTGGGTCAAATCGCGCTGGCCATGTGTACCGATGGCTGTACATTTGAACATGTACCTCGGGACAGGAGAGCAAAACGCTGTGGTGCGACGTTAATGGGCACTGCGCTCCAATGCGCTAGTGGAACGTTCCAGTGCGCTGGTAGAATGCATTTGGCACGTTCTCTGACTCTGTCCAAATTGCGTTGAAATGGGACCACACCGTGTCTTTGAATTTTAACCATGTTGAAAAGGACCAAATTGCGTTACGTTCACCATGTTGCAGTCGCCGTTTCCACCAGTAGTAGTTCAGCAAGCCACTTGGGATCACGATAAGAGTGGTGGCCAGCGCATTAGGTTGCAAGGGTTTGCTCGAGGCGAATGGTCGCAGACGCACAGCGTTCGTGCAAAACTTGATGGGGCTTTTGTTCTGTATGAGCAGATGCATTGACGGACTTGTCGACGAGGTCACGCTGTGTTACCAGAATGGAACTGCAAGCGTCGTACAGGAGCTGGACAGTCCGGAGGCGGACACGAGGGGTGCCGGTGGCTGCAAGTCCCCGGGTCTGATTTCCTACTCGTTGCCTTTTCTAATCATTATGGGGGCGTCATTTTGCACGTTTTGACAAATTGAGACTGGCCTCCATTCCGCGGTCCAGTTCTCGTTGCCACGCTTTCGTTTACCTCCGGGGAATGGGAGGCTTCTTTGCCACTTGGCCGTGATTTTCGGGTCATTGCATTTAGTGTGGGCAAAAATGTATCGGTACATGATAGCATATAGTCATGTGTTCTTGCTTTCCTTTTGTTTGCTTAGGACATTGCCTAATGCAGGAAGCGTGTCATTCATAGCGGCCATGGCGCTGACCAAGTGCCCGTGCCGTTCAGCCAAAGGCGCAGGCCCTAGGCTGGAGGCGGCAAGTTTTTGGAGCAAGGCAGCGGCATGTTTTTGCTGCGCCATTCCATCTGCTCAGCGGCGTGAAGCGTGCGGCGAAGGGCAGGGCGATTAGTCCATTTGTTGCGTCGAGAGTGCGGGGGGGTGTGGCGTATGGAGGTGGAGGTCGGTGTCGAACGCGAGGCGAGCGTGCGCATGCTGTGTGAGGCAAGCAAACGCGGGTGCCGTTGCCCTGCCTCCCTTATCCTCCTGGCGGGGAGCGCAGACCCAGAGATCAGTGCGGGCTCTCACTTGGTGCGTTCACGGGGCCCGTTTGTCTGCGTCAATTCAAATTCGCAACAGCACGATTTGGTGGGGATGTGGCTGTGAATAATCAGCAGGGAACCACACTTGGATCTCGCTGATCTTGAGTGGCCCTAACGGCTGCACCTGTAATCGTGACATCGTGGAGAGAGACTGGAGACGATTGGAAAGGGCTTGGACCCCTCGCCACGTGCACCCACTTCCTGTGCCTGGTCCCTGCAAATTGCCTATCATGCGGCTGCCGCAACATGATGGCTATTGGGTGACGTTGCACGTCTGACGTGTCAGACATTGTGACTCACAATGACAGGCTCTCGATTCCAGCACATATTGCGCGTCTGATGGAAATTGCGAGCACATTGGGACCAGGCGTCCAACGGACTTTTCTGGAAATAAGTACACCTGTTTGCGACAAACCAAAGTCATTAGCGATCACTCACCAGGAGAAATTAATGAGGTTCGACAAAGATGGTCCTGTGTCAGTCGAAACAGCTGAGCGCACGGGCTCACTTCTCCTGATTTTCCTGCGCGCCAAAGGCGATGTGTCTCCCAGGTTGAGGGCCTCGCCACAGCACTTGAATGTGATATATTCCCAGTTCATCGCGGTGTTCCTTCACAGTTCACAAAAATGCGGGTGGTTTCTCACTTTCTTCGAGCTTTGTTGTCCGAAGGCGGTGGACGAATCCTTGAGTTTCCACCACTCCTCAGTGGTCGTAGGGTTGCAGGAAGCCTGAGAGCCTTACTACAAATTGACTTGACGAGTTAAAGGACCTCCCAAAAAAGCTATCTATCACAGAAGCTCACCACCGCACGGCAGTGCTGAGGACAGCTCGGTTGCGGTAGGGATGATGAGATACCAGCGGAATTGGACAGACGCACAGCAGATACTGGTGCCTAACCATCACATCACCATGCACTGAGGCATTACAGAACATGTACCTTGTGACTTACCACATCAAATGACCTTGCACCCTTGCCAATGAAATATTGGGGATGAAATATTGGGATTCAAAGCCATCCAAAGCGATGCTGACGAGCATTGTTAGGTTGACCAGTTGTTGCACTGACTTATTGCACAGCTTTGGCCGCCACGTGCAGGTCGCAGCCGGAAGAGTCCTGCCGCCATTGCCCTTGCCGTCCCTAAACGTGCACCCTGACTGGAGGCACAAGACTCTCATCAGCGGCGCCTCAGCCCTTTTCATCTGCACCGCCACAGTCTCTTTTGCAACAGATGTTTCCTCAAAAATTCACTACTTTTGACGCCAGTTTTCTGCGTCGATAAGATGCTAAGCTAGAGGAAGTTTGCAGCCGATACCCAGTATTGACTTCTTAGGCATCTTCTCAACGCCCTCTGGGCGAGGCGCAAGGAGCAACCCACACCGCGATGGTTGCAAATCTCTAATTGCCCAAAATGTTGTGGTATTCTGTAACCGAAATGATACGCCACCGTCAGTCTGGCGCCCATCCTCGACCCGACTGAACACAGAACCAAATGCGATACCGGCATTTTTTTGGTTGCTTTCGGTTTCGTCTGTTACTTCCTGTTTTGGCCATGCACGTTGTGTCATGTATGTTGACGACGTATCTTTATGTTGCGCTATAATACTACATGCTGCTCCCTCTGCTCTTGCGCATTGCTGGAAAATGGTATCTGCTTGGCCCCTCTGTACTACTGAGAGACCAATACGTGGCCAAGCTGCTCGACAGCCTGTGGTGAGAGTACACTCTGTGTTCTTTGTCCCCATCGTGTCTTGGGCGTGCCTGTCTCCCGCTGATTTGGGATCAAAACCCTACCCTTCCACCACGTTTGCTTGCGCCTGTCAGCCACCCACAATTTGATCGAGCCGGATGCTTCTAAAATTCCCTGGCATCCTTGAAGGCCTTGTGGCGGACGCACTCACTGTCTGCAAATTTGTTAACTACGTGTCAGTGAGCTCAAGAAACTCCGTCATTCTTGTTCTCTCAATCGACAATCCTGTCAGAAAGCAAGGGAGCTTAAATGGCCGATAGCTCACCAAACTCCCCAACGAAGCACACAAAGAAAAACCAGAATGGTTGTCTCACAAATATCGAACAGAGGCTGCGAAGCAGTGCACGAGGCGACAGGCATCGGAAGCCGCAGGACAGCACCCGAGCAACTCCCACATGGCGTTGATTCACCTTTTCCGTACCCCGGCCCCCTCGCTGGCCTTGCCTTCCCCTCGGTTCCTCCCCCGCGACGAACCCCGGCCAAGGTCGCACGGCCCGGCACAATACAGGGCAATACTCCCCGCTGGCGTCGTTGAACCCTTCTGCTATGCTGTGCGCTGACTGACCTAATCGATCCAGCAAGAGAGCGGCGGCCCCCCCGATGGAGCCCCCCTCACTCCGATGACTCGCCGCACGACATCAGGGCCATAAACCGGCCCGAGGCACGAGGACGCTGTGACGAAGCCGAGGGCAGACCTGGCCGCCAAAAAGGGCGGATGAGGTGCCAGTGTCCCCCGTCGTGCGTCACGGCTCCAACAAGGGCGGGTGCAGGAGGACGTCCGGGAGCCTCGCGGGGAGCACGGACAGCCAGCGGATCGCCTGGCCCACACCGATCGAGTGACAGCCCTCGACAGGCCGAGGCGGTCGACCGGACGGGAGGCCACGCGCTGCCCCATGCGGGTAGGTCGGCACCTCGCCCCTGGTGTCGGAGGAGCAGGGCGCGGAGGGGTTGGATTGGATTCGCTGTCACCGCAGCCGAGGCGAGGCGAGGGGGTGTCGGGAACGATCGGCAGGTCGGCAGGCGGCTGGAATTGTCGCCCTTGGCGCTATAGACGTTGTTGGCCGTTGTGTGCATTTCCTCGCGCAATTTTCATCGCTTTGGCCCGCCGTCCGGCGTGCCGCGCTCGCGCGCCACCCCGCAGCCCGAGTAAGAGCGGCAGCTGAGCTGTGGGAGTCCGCCTGGCTCCGATTGGCTCCCCGCCCCGGGCCCGCCGGCTGATGACCGATGAGCCCTTGCGTACCCCAATTCATGCTAATGACCAGTGCGTGCGCGGGCGTCGTCGACCCCCGGCTGCGTGGCGAGTCATCGCCAACTGCGAGGGTGGTGGAAGGCGGCGCTCTTTGAGCCGTCGGGACGGGCCATTCTCCATGCTTGGGACCATTGTGGTGCTGGAGGGGGAAGCGGGGATGGACAAGTCTGTTGGGCCTTTCACTCAGGAAAGTGCGGCAAAGTGCGGCGACGCGCTTTGCCTTAATCCCGGGGTGCCATCGCCCGCCATCCTGTTGAATTTCATCGGCACGGATCGCGATCGAGGGCGGCGGGGGGCGCCGCGAAGGCGAAGGGATGGCCCCTTATGTTAAATTGGCGTCAGAGCGCCGACCGGGTCGCGGATGGGCGCGCTGTTGCATGGTGCACCTTGCGTTGCCCCAGGCGTGCTGCGGACATAGTACAGGGGCGCCCCCGGCGGCGGATGCGCTGCGGCGGGTGGTGCAGGCCGACGGAGGCTGCCGTTGGCGACGCACAGTGATGATCGGCGCCATTGGCACGGTGATTCGAATTGGCGGTCGCCTGTTCATCGACGGCGCAATGAGACCTGGGGCTTTTGCCCGCAGGACGCGCCGCGCATGGGAGCAATGCATCGGTGCGTCAGTATGTGGATGCTTTGGGGAAGGTATCAATGCGTGCATGATGGGGAGACTTTGACGACCGACGTCTGGATGTTAGCAGCGCCCGGGGTCGGGCTGTGAAGTGGGAGCACATGGGTGTATATGCATGAGTTCACAACGCTCGCTAGGGTTGTCGACGTGATTGGGTTGCCAGTCAAATGCTGTCGCACTCAGCACTGCGGAATCACCGAACTTTGAATTCCCGGTTTTGGAAGGCGACTTGCATGATTCGTGCAAGGAAGAGTCCAGCTGACCTGCTGACCAGGCAGGAGCCGAAGATTATCTTCATAGCAGAAAGCAAAACACGTCGTGGAATGTGCTTTTGCCTCCAGTTAGATTGTTGTCGTGAATGTTGTCTTGCCATTAAAGCAAATTCCAGCATTGCATCAACAAGAAACAGCGAAATGGCCCTTCCCATCACGTGGATTTGCTTTCCGCTTGGAAAACTGTAAGGAAATGTCGAGTCCTGCTACGTCTGTTGTTACAAGCCATGCAGATTGCCAAACTTGAGCACTTTTGAACGCTGTTTTGGGACTGACATAATTTGAGGGATCCGATGTGCCAAAGCGCAATTGGCTGCGTTTGAGTTGCTGATGACTTGGTGATGCATTGCGTGGGTTGATTTTATGTCGCCTTATGCAGAATGAAAGCAGCATGAGTTCAGTGTGGATCAACAACTTTTGAACAACAAGTAGAAGTGTACAGCTGCAACAACTGCTTGAAACAGTGCTTTTCCAACCCCAGCAAGCCAAGGACTCGAGGTCACCAGTGCTGTGGGCTGTGTCCAACCCATTCTTACGCCAAATTTTCCATGCTGCAGATTGCAGAGGGGTTAGCCAAGGGCACGCCACGTCATGTGGCCCAACACCCTGCATGGCATTGTTTGCATTGTGGCTGCTGTGTGGGTGAGCGGGCAGCTGTTGGCTGCTGCTGGCCAGCAAATGGGGCAAGCTTCACTGCAATCTCAGCCCGTGGTAATTACCCAAGAGCGGCTGAGGCTCCTGGAAGTGCCAGAGGGCGCCGACATCCTGTTTGCGCTTGCATCGGACTGCCCCCCACAGTCACAGCTATCAACTGTGACCTTTGCCAGGATGGGCCAGCTGTGCTTTATCATCAACAACCTGCGTTCCTGCCTGAATATATCGAGCGAGGCTCCTCAGTTCCTCTTCAGGGGTTGCACCAAGGCCAACGGGTGCCCACCCATCAAATACACCCCCGAAGTCTCAGCCTGCATCTTCAAAGGGCTGGGCATCGAAGTGATGGAGAGCAGGGACTGCCCAGAGTGCAGGTGGGACACAGCCATTTTGGTCAGTCCAATTTGCGACTGCAGACAATGCCATTTTGCGTTTGAATCATCTTCAGGTGGTGAATAAATGTAGTAGCAGTGCATGCTGTGTTAGAATTGGACTGCGCCTTTGAAAGGGTGCCGTCAATGCTATCAAAATAGTGATAATTGCAACAATTAGCTGTAACTACTTAGAAAGTTACATAACAGTGAAATGACACAATCCATACTTGACTGTGTTTCTGCAGCCGTTTGCCACCAGTCCTCGGGACATTGCCAGGTGCTGCATTGCTGCCGTGTCCTTTCTCACAATAAAATGTTCAAGTTTGCCGACATGTGCACTACGGTTCGTAATGTTTCAAGTTCAGAAACAAGTCAGAATTGCATTGGTACAAGTGCTGCATGCAGGCCTGCGGGTTCATTCTGTGGGCTTGTCAAATGGCTACGCTGGCCTGCGCTTCTCGCTGCAGGTGTGGAATCCCACCTGAAAATGAAGGCCTCTTCATTGAGAGAGGCTCCGCGACTGCCACGCCCGTTCCCAACGTCCCTGACTCCACCTGCTACGTGGCCCAGCCCGAGCAGTCAAACCTCACAGTACAGACGGTGTGCACCGACGGGAAGCCGACCACCCAGAACAGGTGGCACTTCCAGTTCCCGGAGGAGGCGAACGAAGGGGCTTACAACTGCCTGTTGAGCCGCCGGTGCGTCAGAATCGGCAATGGAAAGCTCACAAAGGAGCTGAGCCCAAGCACTTCGCTGGAGCTGTTTGCTGTTGGGCGGTTTGACTTTGGTGCTTACTGTGCATCAGCTTTGTGAGGAGGTTGTGATTTTCCGCGACAAGATGGCAGTGCCAGCAAAGATGCTGATGAGCATATTCGCTTCTTGTTATGTGCGCTGAGCCGACTTTGGGGCTGCTTCTTCGCGCAGTCATTTGCCCGTGCTCGTGTAAACACAATTACCTCGGGAATATGACATGAGGGGCCCCCGTATCCTGAACACCGAATATCACATGTGTGCCATACCCTCTATACGTGCATACAAGATATGCGGCCTTTTTCCCAGCGAATCGATAAAGTGTTTCCGATTTGCCAGCCTGCTTGTTCGCCCTCTTTGATGACCACATTAGCATGTCGCTGGCTGCTGCAATGTGGATATCCCGACTGCCAGCAAACGTTCGCATGTGCGCGAGGTCAAAATCCTGCCATCGCAGCATTGACTTGAGATGTTCTCATGGCTCGTTTTTCGTTCTGTCTGTTTTGGCAGGTGCACAGAGGGGGTGGTGGACGAGGTGGCGCTGTGCTATCAGAATCGCGCAGATGCCCCTCAGCTTGCGGGCGAAAGGGAAGGGGCGGGGATACCCGGCATGAGCGCTGGAGTCCGTCCTACGTGGACCTTGCTTACGTATTCTTTACCGTTTTATTTGATTCTGGCTGCCGCCATTTTTGACCTGCCAGGCATGTGAGGCGGAGGCTCGGTGTCCCTGCATTTTGCTGCGGCGCGCCTGTGTTGTTGAGCGGGGGATGAGGGGAGGTACCTTTTGGTAACACGGCGCGACACGGGGCCCATGAGGAGCGGTTCGAGTGGGGATAGGACGACAGCTGGGGTTTGGGGGCAGGGGATGCGCGAGGCCAGGGGCCTGTCGCCTCCCAGCATAAGTCGGTTTTGTTGGCTGCCTGCAAAGGCTTCATGGACCAAGAAGGGATTCCCATTGGGAGAGAACTCTGTGCACGTGAGGTTCGCCGACAGATGTGATGTTGTTCAACTGGTGGGCGACGGAGCCGACCGGAGCCGCGCCGACCATAAGCATGCGTATCCATGCGGGTCGCATTCGACGACCCGTCTCTTAGTTCTGCAAGCGCGAATACCACCGAACTCTGTTCAAACTCCAGGCGATTGCGGCTATGCTGCGGATTAGTCTTGAGAAGCGAAGGGGCCGGAATGTCCCGTTTGAACGCTGCTGCGTATCGGCTGCGGGTGTCCGTGTTCGCGAAGAGGTGCGGGGTTGTGCGGGTG